AGGATTGTCCTTAGGTACTAGCAAAGTGATATCCCAGGGATTTGTATTCAGCTTCAGTGCAAAACCATCATTGTACACCTCCTCCTTCTCGGGGGAAGGGGCTGGTTAGGGACTGTGGAAACTGCAATGTGGGATCACTTGCTGTGAGGCCGGCCAGCCAGGTTTCCTTCTGTTGTTCATGTCACACCTTAGAACTATGAGCATTAGGGCTGGGGATTTAGCTCAGCGGCATAAGCGCCTGCCTTGCAAGTGTGCGGTCGTGAGTTCGATCCCTGGTACTGATAAAAATGAAAAAGCCAAAAAAAAAAAAAAAAAAAAAAAAAAAAAGAACTGTGAGCATTTCTGGATAGTATACTTTAGCCAGTTGTCAAAACCCTTCCTTGATTTTTCTTTTTCAGTGAGGTCTAGTGGACTTAGCTCCTAAATAAGATAATGTCTTATTTTAAACTGATATTTTTTTCTCTTATTTATCCTTACCCAGCTACCTCAGTAGCCCCCACAAATTATGAAATAGTTTTATTTTAGAAGTATTAGCTACTGCCAGGTGTGGTGGCTCACGCCTGTAATCCTAGCACTCGAGAGGCTGAGGCAGGAGGATCGTTTCGAGTTCAAGCCTGGGCTACAAAGTGAGCTCAAGGCCAGCCTGAACTACATAGCGAGACCCTGTCTCAAAAAGACAAAAAAAAAAAAAAAAAGTATGGCTACCTCGATTTGATCTTCAGAAAAGTCATTGGGAATAATTCATGAGGTCTCTTGTTTCTTGACTAAACAGCAATCTTAGGTGTTTTATTTAATTAGGGTGATATGCCAGGAATGTCTGATTCACCACATTGGTGGGCAGAAATGGTATGTGTATTTTTACTTCCACCCACTTAATCGATGAGTACTTACTGAGGCTTGGCAAGTGCATGAACCTTTTTCTACTTTTAAGACCACCCTGATCTGGTTGATTCAGGGAAGGCTGAAAAGAAACTTCATTGAAAAAGGTTCTAAACACACAGGTTCCCTTTTTGGTTTTTGACTTGTTAATTTATTTTTAATCTGTAATGAGATGTCCACATTAATTTGATTTTATTGTGTTCCAGGCCACAGGAAGGAAAATCATAGAATTAGGGTATTTAGAGATCCGTTTGGAAAGGCCAACCTCTGAGCAATATGAAGTCCAGAATTAGATTTTTTCCCTTCTTGGCTTGTGAATAGATTTCTACATGGAGCTGCACATTATTTCCTTTCTTTCATTTGTTGGCCTTCTAAATAAATGAATGCATGTCACTCAGAGGAACAAAACAATCTTGTCTCCCAGGCAATTCCTCTGTAGTCTGTTGGATAATGCTAGTTTACTTGGTTGTTGTTACCACATTTGAGATTATGTTGTCTACAAATAAAAATAAATGGTGTTTTATATAAGGAGACAGTTATCCTGGAGGGGAATTTTAAGTGTTCACTTGCCCATGATTTTCAACTAGTTGTCAGAAATTTGACTTAGATCTGTTTTTTATTATTGTATTATAAGTTTCCAAGGAGAAGAGAACATAGCTTGGTTTTCATTTCTGACAAGGCAGAAACAAACTTAGGGGTGGCAGGAAATGAGCAAATATTGAAGAAGAGGAATTTCTTATTTACAAGGTGTGTAGGATTATAAAGTGCTTATTTCACATGAAGTTTTTCACAGCAATAGTTGTTAATTGTTTTCAACAGTTTTTTGAGCCTTGAAATTTGAGCTTAACTTTTAATATTTTTATGAGTTTATTCAGTGATTAGACCTCAGCTTTTCTAAGGCTTTCCCCCATTTTGAGTATTGTAGTTGTCATTTTGATGTGTCTCATGATACAATGAATATATTTGTATGTAAACATTTGCCCATTCACTATCTGTGATATCTTTGAGAATTACTATGCTTGAAGGGTATGAACTTCTTTGAGATTTTAGACATGTCTTTATAAATTCTTCTTTAGAAAAGTCATGGTAGGCCGGCTGTGGTGGCACATGCCAGTAATCCCGGTACTCGGGAGGCAGAGGCAGGAGAATTGCTTTGAGTTTGAGGCCAGCCTGGGCTACAAAGGGCAGCCTGAACTGCATAGCAAAACCCTGTCTCAAAAAGACTCCCTGGAAAAAAATAGAAAAGTCATGCTGCTTTATATGTTCATAATTGTGTTTATATTATTATAAACTTAGCACTTTTCATGACTTGACTATAATAAAAAATCTATATAGCTGTCATAGAATCTCAAAATTATACAGAGGAAAAAGTTTGCCTGGCCTTACATTTTAACAAGGAAAGTCAGTGAACTTCAGATTACTAAAATAAAATTAGTAAATCAAACTGATTAGAAGTTTTGTTTTTTAGACTTTTGGTTCAATGTTGTTTTCACTAGTGAATACTTATTATTTATTGAAGATCTCAACATGGTTAGGGCTGTATTGGGCACTAAGGCTTTCATTAAAAACTTAATGGGTGTAGTGATGTATGCCTGTGGTCCCAGCTCTGTGGAGGTGAGGCAGAATCATTGCAGGTTTGGCATTGGCCTGGGCTACATAGAGAGACCCCCATCTCAAAAAACTAAAATCAAAACCTGAAACCTAAAATGAAATGAAATCAAAGCCTAAAACAAAATAAAGCAAACAAAAAAAATCTCTTAATGTTTCTAGTAACCTATGTTGAACAACTTGGAAGTGCTTTATTATTTATAGGGAAGAGGTCCTAGAAGTTATGACTTTATTTTAATGTATCCTCAGTTACTTCCATTGTAGACAGCAGCCATCAGAGTTAGCAAAGTGCCTGGGGCATAAGGCCCTTGGTGACTGTCCTGGTTGCCTGAGAGGCCCAAGAGGAAGTAAGCCCCTCCAGATGTGGGTTTGTAGTTCACATTTATGCAGTGAACCCTCCTTTCCCGTGATGCTCTCATCTTCATGGTGAGCCTTCTGCTTTTTTTGTTGGATTTCTTTTGTTAGTGCACCAAAATGGAAAGGCTTTTCTGTTGTTGCAGTCAAGGATTGCAATGCAAACAATTACATACAGGACACATAATTTATATTATTTTGTAATAGTCACCCAAGAGTTAAATACAAAAAGTGCAGGAAATCTATCTACACACTTAAGACCCAAATACAGCTGAGGATTTGGGTCCCACAGTAGTGTCCTGCATGAATCCAGCTGAACACCTAGAGCCCATGACATTGCCCCCTCGCCATGAGTCAAACTGGAGGCCTAGAGCCCATGACAATATCTCATGCAAGTTTGTTTCATGAGTTTGTGCTGGGAAGGTCCAAAGGTCAGCAGTGGAATCTAGAAAGTCTGTGCAAGCAGGATGCAGGATCTGTGCCAGTAGGCTGAGGGATCTGCACTGGAGCCAGGAAATAAGGCTCAAAGTAAGAACCAGGGCTTCCCTGAGGCAGCCATCCTCAGTGATGAGTTCCTGAGCCCCTCCGATGATGAGAACAGCCCAGTTCATTATCAGGAAGCCAGTGTGATAGGCTTCTCCAGGAGTTTGAACAATACTCCATTTTCTCCTCTGGAGAAAGGAAGTGATGAGAAAGGAGCCAGGAAGTGATGCTCAGCGTGAGGACCAGAGCTCTTCCAAAGTGAACCACAGCCATTCTCAGGGACAAGGTGCTGAGCTTCTCCAGTGATGAGAACAGCCACGTTCATATCAGGAAAGAAGCTTGACAAGCTCCTCCAGGAGAACCTACAGCAACAGGAAATAGCAACAGCCAGGAGAACCTATAGTTCCTCTTCCACCCCAGTTCTCTTTATCTTTGCAACAGTCCTTAGATGAACTATCCATGCTCAGCACCTCACTGATTCAGTTCAGCTGGTGTTACAAGTTGGCCACCAGTTAACAACCCACCATAGTTGTGAACCACTGAATTAAGCAAAAGTTTACTGAGATCCGTTTGAGATACATTTTCAGGATTTCTAGTTATGAAAGCCTTGCCCTAAATGTGTAGAAAGACATAAAATCAAATGTTTCTGGACTCTTTTAGAAAAGATAAAATGTAACAGTCTAAAGTTATAAATAAATGGTTAGATGATGATAGATAATCCACCTTCAGTGTGAACTAGACTCTCACAACCTGTTAATCACCTCTGTAAAACCCACCCATGTTAGCATCTGATCTAGAAGTGCAGTTTTTTTTTCTAATTACTTTTATTAGTCCAGGTTTGGAGACATAGTGAGTCCCATGCTTTGTGGGGGTTGGCCTGACACTAACATCTCACAGCAGCCTCTTGAGTAGGTTCCCTGCTCTCAGGAGCAGGACTCGGGTTCTTGTTCTGCTTGGACTTCTCCAGGGGGTTCTCTTTCTGTAGAAAACCTGAAAGTCTTTCTGCAACCTAGAAAGTCCTATAGGACTTAACTCCAGCCTCTTTCACCCGACTTCTTGCAAAGTAGACCTTTCTGGGCTGCAGTTACGGTGACCTCCTGGCAACTCACTTAAAGGCTGGTGGCTGCCACCCAACCCTTTTTTGTCTTCTACTTCCCTTAGGGCCTCCTGTGAGCCAGCAAAGGTCTCTCCTGCTTACCAGTGCCCTCATGAAGTCTCTCCTCAATTTTTACCTTCTCTTCATTGCACATGTACTTGACATTGTTTGTTTGTGTGTTTCCTCTTGTAGACTTAAAGTTTCATGAAGACAGAGTTTTTGCTTTTTTATTCACAGATATACCCTCAGTGCTTAATAAGGAATTGATGCTCAGTAAATGTTTGTTTACTCTAGGTGGTAATTGGGAAAGGTAGTATGTTAAAGGCCTGGCACTGGGAAATACAGGATTGACTGTTGAATTCAGGAGATAAGAGGAAAGAAAATTAATATCCCAAAACTCATACTTTTTTTTTTGGTACCGGGATCAAACTCACGACCTTGCACTTGCAAAGCAGGCGCTTATGCCGCTGAGCTAAATTCCCAGCTCTCATACTTTTTTTTAATAAAGCTGGTAGAATTGGTTGCTTATGTAATTAGAGTTGATGTTGATTGAAAACTATCTGGTTATTTTCCATTTAAGATGAAGATGATGACTTTATGTGTAAGAGGACAGCCTCTAAAGCAAAAGAGAATGGAAGGTCTACAAATACTTACCTGGGAACATCCAGCATGAAGAAGAGTGAAGAAAACACTAAGAACAAGAATAAGCCCTTATCACCAATAAAACTCACACCCACGTCAGTGTTAGATTATTTTGGAACTGGAAAAGTCCAGAGATCAGATCAGAAGATGGTTGCAAGCAAAAGAAAAGAGGTAAGTGTTCAGTATACAAGCAAAAGTGTTGAAGATCGTTGGGCATGGTGCTGCGTACCTGTAATCTCAGCACTCTGGAGGCTGAGGCAGAAGGATGCCAAGTTTGTGCCCAGCTTGGACTACGTAGTAAGACCCTGCCTCAAAAAAAGTTCAAGATTAGTATTCATTGATACTGGTAATAGAAGTTAGGATGTTATAACTAGGTCACATGTTTTAGTAAGAAAGCAATTTTCCAATGATTATGGATAAACTGTCTTGCTCTTCTCTAGAGGAAAAGGAAATTAGAATATGATATGTTTAATTTTTTAAACTTGAAAGCAGGGAAAATTATTTGAACCATAAGAAAAAAATTGTAGTTTTTAGAATTTAAATTGAGTTTTCAGAATGAAAGCTCATTTTACTATTGATCTCAGGCAAAATTAGACAATAAGTTTGTTCCCAAATGAGATCATAAGTAACTTTCCATATAGACAGAGAATACCCGTGCCATACTTTTGACCTTCCTTTGACTGTTGGTGGACTTTTTCTGACCATTCAGGAAGCAGAGGTAAATGATAGTGAAAGTAGCCTCCTGAGTTAGATCAGCCTGCTAAATAGTGAGTGTGTGTGTGTGTGTGTGTGTGTTTCTTTATTGCTATTGTTCTTACTCACTGGTTTGCCAGTGCTCTGGGCTACTTCTCAAGTGAAGATCTTCATCTCAAGGTTTTTGTCTGTGGGCTGTACTTCTTTTGAACACATCAGCAGAAGTGAGTGAGAACCATCTGGCTGTAGGATCTTTGCCCAGGAAATTGGATATGGTCAGGGAATAGTCATAAACTTCACTTTCAGGCTGGTAGGAACTGTGACTATTATGGGTATGCTTGTCTCCCATTGTTTTTATAATAAATTAGGTATAGTAAAGAAAGAAATCTTATTTTTAACTTAAGGTTTATGCTGTTCTTGTTGATTTTCTTTGAAATACAGCCTTCACAAAATACAGATGATTCCATACTAAATGATGAAGCCATCGCCAAGCAATTACAACTTGATGAAGATGCAGAGGTATTGGCATTGCACTTAGATATCATTAATAACTTTTTTTTTCCTTCGATTTTAGAGAACAATATCATTAATAACTTGATGTTAGGAGTTCCTCATTAGTGTAGCTAGGCAAACTGTCAAGATTGTTTATTGAACCTCGTTGGAAGTTATGTGTAAAATAAATACATGAAAAAAAATCTAAATTTCTACAAAAGATAAATGATAAAATTAAGGGATAATTATTTACTAAAGATTTATCTTTAGAGTTCTTTGAGTGGGAGGATTCTGTAATATATTTAAATGGTTTAATTTGCTTATAGCTCTTTTATGTTTGCTGTAAGCACCCTTATCCATTCCACCCAAGTGGCTTTATTTACACAATACGTTGATAGTCCCTGAATCTGTGTCCAGTTTTAGTTTCTCTTGAGCCATAAAAACCATGTATTAATTTAACAAGTATTTATTGAGTACTTTCAAGTGCCCAGCACTGTTCTAGATGTTAAAAGTATTGTAGTTAAAAAGAAGAAAGAAAGAGAAAATGTAATGGTAGGTAATTAGCACAGTGAAGAAGAGTAAAGGGATAGTTTTGGGGTAAGTAGGGTTATGAGTGTTCTGTTTCTACTGCAGTAGTTAAGAAGATCCTGCAGAGGAAGCTTGGAAGCTGAGCAGGAGCACGGGTTACTCTGGAGTGGCAGTGTGGTTACAGCCAAGCTCTCCTCCTGCCGTGTCAGGCTTCTCCAAGCCAGACTGTGCCAAGTAGCCCCACCTTCTGCACAGACTAAGCCACACTCAAAAGTGCAAGTGTGTCTTAGATGGTGAACACACATACTTCATTATTTTAATTTTAAAAACAAAGTCAAAATGATACAGAATTTCAAAACAAAACAATAGAAAATTAATGCTTGTTAATATATTGCATAGTTATCTTATTTTTGTCTTTTTCTTTTTTTATCGATACCAGGGATCAAACTCACGATCACACACTTGTAAGGCAGGTGCTTATGCCACTGAGCTGAATCCCCAGCCCCTGCATAGTTATCTTAAGAGTAGTTCAGATTTATGCTTCAAAAAATGATCAATCTAATAGTGAAAAGAAACTATTTTTTTGATGAACTAGCAGAGATTAGTAGAATAGTTATTACCCTGTACACACACACACACACACAGAGAGAGATGCATATGTTTTCTCCTTTGCTCTATCCCAGTTCTTTCCTTTGGAACACTTTCTTTCCCTTTCATTTAACTCACATATTTCTTCTGACTGGCCTGGGACCCTTCTCTTGGAGTTGATGTGCACAGTTGTCCTTAGTTTGAGCTGCAAGGGCCTTCTGTGAGGACCAAAGTAGTGGACCGTATCAGATTGGCTCCTTTAATGTGTAAATATTGACATAATGCAGATGTTCCTGTGAGATAAACAGAGTGCAAGCTGACCTGAAGAAACCTTCCTGGAATGCTAGTTGATCACCCTGTACGTGTTTCCTACCCTCAGACCCTTCTAAAGAGCTCCTCTCTTCACCCAGTGGTGCAGTCTTCCCCTAAACTTGCCTGCTGTGCTCTTGCAGTGTGTCAGTAAAGTTTAACTTTCCTATACTTTTTTTTTTATCGGTACTGGGGATCGAACTCACGCCTGCCTGCTTGCAAGGCAGGCGCTTATGCCGCTAAGCTAAATCCCCAGCCCACTTTCCTATACTTTTTGACTCTGGGTAAGTTGCTTTACCACCCATGGTCAGGGTTCCTACATAATGGGCCTTGCGTGGCAGAAGAGGCATTGTGGCAGAAATGAAGTGATAGTAGCTGTGGTGCCGGCTGTGTAGGGAAGGAGATGTGTACTGAACAGCAGGAACAGTGGCTGGCAGCATCCTGATCTAGAAATGTGCTTCATGTGTTCAGGTGAGCCAGATAGCTGGAAAAGAGTGATGGAGAAGGAGGGCGGGGAGGTAACTCTGCAGAAGTGGCCAGAAGCGTGTTCTGTAAGTTGCAGACAGGACTTAAATAGTGACAGGGGCTGTGGATGGTAAGGACTTGGGATTTTGATCTGTGAGATGGGATGCCATTGGAGTTTTGAAGAGAAGTGACAAGACTTGTTGGATCTTAAAAGCAGTCTTCTGTGATGCTAATGGACCACAGTGGGGCAGAACAAAATCGGCTTGTTGTCCTGGTGAGAGGAGGCCCTGCTTTGTACCAGATTGTCAGGGAGAGGGGGTGACAAGTGGTAGTGATCTAAATGTGCCTTGTTGGCCAGATGGTGAGGTTAGTCATCGAGGCTGGAACACAGGGTACAGATCATCTTTGATATGGAGAAATCAGGAATTCTGTTTTGCACAGGTTAAACTGGAGATGTTTGATAGACTTGCAGGTATCCACACAGAGCGAGTGGCAGAATAAGAGGTGTGTGGCGCTCAGGGTAGATAGAGATCTGCCAGGGATGGCAATTCTGAATGTTCAAATGATATTTAGAGCTAATGTACCTGGATTAAACCACGGGAAGAGTAAACTGAAAAGAAAAGGGTCTCAGGATTGAGCTAGGGCATTGTACCGTTAGAGATCAGGAAGAAGATTCACAAAGGAGACTAAGGGTGGCTAATGAAGGGGGAAGATCTGAAGAGCTTGGTATTTTGTGAGGTAAAGAATTTGAAGGAGGAGTGCTAATCTCTGTCCAAAGTGCCATGACGAGGTAACTACGTTTGAATCCCGCCTCTCTTCCTTTCTTCCTTTCTTTTTTTTTTTTGGTATTGGGGATCGAACTCACAGCTGTGCCCATGTAAGGCAGGCACTTATGCCACTGAGCTAAATCCCCCCCCCGCCCCATTTCTTAGCTGAAATGTCACTTTCTTACACTCTCAGCCAAACTATATTAGAACTCATTACTTACCTAAGCTGCTGTTATCATTTATAGTAATTGTGATTTACATGTGTTCTTGCTATAAACTCCATGTGCCATCTACCAGTGATATTTATTTATATCTCACAACTACCGTGGATCTTAGTGCTCTATGTAGAGCAGATTGCAATTGTGATTGTTCCCATTTTATTACTTTGGCAGATTTAGTTTGTGTTTTCAGAATTTTTTTCTAATATATTTGACTGCTCTGCATTACATTATTTGCAGATAACCTTATTGTTCCAGATGGCACAAGTGGCGAGGTTCAGCTATGAAGTAGGGACCTGACTTTTTCTGAACTGTCTCAAATAGTGGAGGATTGCCCAGTTCTTTCCAAATCAGGGGTAGTGTTTTGCAGCATAAGCCTGTTTTCTCATTTTTATTGTTCTTTTAGAATCCAGTATGGGTAATCAGTTAATCTTCGAGTATTAGTGATTTATGATATCTTCTCTAATTTTCCTCTGAGTTTCCCTCCTTTCCTTTCATTTTTATATCTTTTTTTATTTCGTCAGTGAAGTGCGTGGGGAGATACTGTTCTTAGAAGTTCTACTGTACCAGGTTAATGCAAGGAGTGGACAGAGCAAGCTCCTGTTCCATCTCCCAGCTTCAAAAATACATTTAATATATTGTCCTCTGATAGAGAATGTAGCAGATACTAAACTGATAAGAACAGATGCTATACTTGGTCTTCTCCAAAAGGCTGGGGAAAAGATATACATCTTTATATTTATTTAGTAATATGTTCAGGCTCTAATACTCAAGTATTTTAAGTGCCACATTTAGCTATGTTAAACATTGTGTTACAATACAAAACTTGATCACATGATGTCATAATCAGCAATAATGAATTTCTCATGGAAAATAAATGTTTTTCTGCCCTCTAAAACATTCAGTTTTAGGGGCTGGGGATTTAGCTCAGCGGCATAAGCGCCTGCCTTGCAAGCAGGCAGTCGTGAGTTCGATCCCTTGTACCAATAAAAAAAAAAGAAAAAGACAAAAAAAAAAAATTCAGTTTTTTTTTTTTGAGACAGGGTCTTGTTGTGAAGCTCAGGCTGACCTCAGACTTGTGATCCTCCTGCTTTAGCCTCCACCAGATGCATATGACCTAGTGTGACGTTTTGGAAACGTAGCATAGGATTCAACCATAAATCCTCTGAAGGCTACCGGTGCTTTAGGATTTGCAGGATATCTCTGTGACTGATTTTTGTGTTGTTTTAGCAATTAGATATATAGTTCAGTTCTGGTAAAGAAATGGTAGGTAAAAGAGAATGTATTAATGTATTTCTGCCCCTTACAGTTTAGTTTAGCTTGTTTTGTTGTTTTTGATGCTAGAGATTGAACTCAAGCCTTGTGCATAGGATTTACACATTCTACCACTGAGCTACACTCTAGTTAGTTCATTTTACAACTAGGAAAAGGCTTGCTTACTGTGTTCTCATCAAGCTTATGTCAGCTTCTAAGCCTTTTCTTTTGGATTAGGTAGATATGAGGATTTTTGCTTTTGTTTGAATAATATGAAGAAGATTTCTTTTAAGGTAGGTTTTTTCTCCTTATTTAATGTTATGTTAGGTCATTTAACCAGGAGACATAAACTCAGTAAATTTATAGTTGGAAATACATTCCATTGCAGCAGGTGTTCTTCTGGAAGGGTTCCATTTTGCCAAAAGTGAAAATATTTGGAATAATAGTGAGGTAACTAGAATGTCTGTGTTTTTTATTAGCATGTTAGGAAAACTGACATGATGACTTAAGCTTTCAAAAGTCAGAACAACTGCATTTGACTTTGTAGTTGAAAATAGGAGCTTGATGATAAGTGACAATGACATTTGTATGTGGTTACTGTGGGTACAGTGAGTATATATAATTTTAACTTGTTAGATTTACTTTTCTTGTACCTCCCAGGTGAGGGTTTTTCTGTTAGGTTGAACTTTATTTTGGAGATTTTTCTAGAGTTTAAAGTACACATAAATAAGATCTGATCTTTAAATTTTGTTTTAGGATCATTCTGAGAAAACTGTAGACTTCAAAGTTCCTAAGAAGTTATCACTGTAAAAACAGTTGGATTTCTCTCTCATTCTTGTAAAACTAGAAATACATGTTCTGAAACCTGATATTTTAGAAATAAACCTGTGATGCTTGACTATTAGTAATGGTCAATAGAAAAAAATAATGTTCAGTAGAAAAATATCAAGGTGATTTTTTAAGGAAATGTTTTAGTTTTTTTACAAAATCTTAATTTATAAACAACAACAGCAGCCTCACTTGTGTTGATACTTATTACAGCAGGAAAGGCAGTTGCATGAAGATGAAGAGTTTGCCAGAACATTAGCCATGCTGGATGAAGAACCCAAGACGAAAAAGGTGGCATTATGTTGGACTATTTGCATTCTGAATATACAGTGTAGACCAATGTTCATTTCCATAACTGTGTATTCTAGGCTCTGGAGTAACTCTTCCAGAACATGATAAATTATTTTAAATTATTATTTTAATTATAAAATTATTTTTTGGAGAAACTTAATGAAAAACTTACTTTTTCTAAAAGAAGTTTGCAAGAATCAAACTAGAACCTTTCTTCAGAAAACAATGAATTGTACTTTTTATCACAAGATATTCTTAAGTATTTGCTCAATGAGTAATGCAATTACTATAAGGTTTTATTGTCTTTCCAGAAAGTATAATTTTGGTATTTCTAGTTAGTTAACTTTAAGACCTATATTAAGAAAGGCTTCCTAATAATATATTTTTGGAGTTAAGCTTTTTTTTTTTAAAGTTAGGAACAGGGTGCTAGGTTGCCCTGGCTGGCCTTGAACTTTAGGATCCTCTGTTCTTAGCCTCTAGAATGAGAGCCTCTAGAATGAGCCTCTAGCCTGAGAATTTAAAGGATTTTTTTTTTTTAAACAGGGTTGGACTGCAGTTCACCTGGCCTTGAACTCACTGTGTAGTGCAGGCTGGCTTGAACTCACAGCAATCATCCTGCCTCATCCTCTTGAGTGCTAGGATTACAGGCATGCATGCCCAGCTTTTTATAGAAGATTATTTTTTAAATTTGAAAAGTACTTATCTCCAATAAATAAGACGTATTTCTTTCCTCCTCCTTGTGGGGCCCCCCCACTTTTAATGGAAGCAAGGTTTTTCATTAAAAGTAGGAAAAGAAACAGGCTCTGCAGAACAAATTTGGACCAAGTAAAAGAAGTGCCCCCTCAGCTTGGATTCCTGTGAAAGAATGCAGTAGCCAATTAGCTGTATTTCCTGTGGAACACATTCTGTTAATGTATTTGTCAGTGTCGATATTTGATTATTTTAAGAGAAATTTTTACTACTTTCCTTTAAAGGAGAAGGTTATAACCATAGGTACACCTAGGGATCACGACTAAGCATAAAGATGTAAGACAATAGGGAGTGATAAGAACTTTGTAATTTGAAAACTCTACTGTACTAAGGATATTCTAATTATAATTACCACATACTGTGCCACATACCCTAATTGGTGATCACTTTATAAAGTGAGGTTTTGTGGGACCAGTGGTTATTGGATGTCTTTTTCTTTTTTGAGAAAGTATACTTTCATTGTTCTTTAAAACTTATTTGTATTCATTTTAGTCTTTTTGGTTTAGTTTTTAATTGCAGAATGCTAACAGTTTGGAAGTTGAAATAAGAGGTAGAAATAGGTGTCCATTTCCAGCATGACAGTTGGGATGAAATGAGATAATTTTTTTATAGATGTGTTTTTATAAATTTTCATCTGTTTCTTGCTCTATAAAACAAAGTAATAAAACATGCTTCATTTGCCGTAGAAATTTTTTGGATGAATGAATGCTGGTTTATTGTAGTGTTTTGCTAATTTGGAAGGTGACTCTTAATGCATTTTAACAACAGATTTTGTGATGGTAATAGCTTTCCTATTATGTGTCACATTTGATACTTTTAAATTTGTTTAGGCCCGAAAGGACACTGAAGAGGGAGAAACATTTTCATCTGTCCAAGCCAATTTAAGTAAAGCAGAAAAACATAAATATCCTCGAAAAGGTAATAGCAACAGAGGAATGATAGAGCACTTGCCTTTTAGGATTTTTAATAACGTTGTTTAAACATTCTGTTTGATAATTGTATTTCTAAGTGGACATTATTTTATAAAATGATTAGATCAAGTTCTCTTTAGATATGGTTGTTCCTAGACTTGTGATAGGGTAAACTTACCATGAATTGAAAATAACGTAAGTGGAAAATACATGAAATACACTCATCCTGCGGCTGTCATGGCTTAGCAGTGCAGCGCACAGTACAGTAAACACCTCACCGCTGCCGCCCACTGTCTCTACAGTACCATCATGCATATTGCTAGCTGGGGGAAAGATCAGAATGCAGAATTCGAAGTATGTTTTCTACTGAATGTATTTTCACTAATTTTACTTGAGAAATCGTAAATTGAGCCACCATGAGTCAGGGACTGTCTATACTTTGAAAGCTGTTTGGTTAGTCACTCATGGAGAATGCCTTTCTGCTCTATGATTGTTGTAACAAATGTACTCTGCCTGTTGGTATCAGGTTCATTTCTGAGTGTACTGCAACATGCGGACTTCAGTATGCGAAGACAATTTAATGTTTTGAATTTTTCATGTTAGAGACAGTCTTATAGAGCCAACTTAGATGTGATTAAAAATGCAGTCAATGTTTAAATTTTTAAAAAATTATTACAGTGAAAATCACATTGCTGTTAATTTCCCTCAGAATACTCTCTCTTGCTCTGAACACTTATCCCATTGTTCTTGCCACTTTCTGAAGCAATTCTAGAAGTCTGTCGTGTTTAGTCACAGTATTATAACTGCCTCCCTATCCTGAATGATTCAAAACATTTATCTTTCATGGTCATTTTGATGGTAGAACCAAAGTCTTAATTGTGTCAGATCTGGTAAATAAGGTGGAGGAGGACATACACTGTGATGTTTCTGTGGGACCCCTTTCTCTTGGGTAGTACTGTTTTGGTCATAACTCATAAAGAGTCATGAAAAAGAACTTTTAGAAATGCTTTAGAAAGTGGCAAGAAAGATGAACTGAATGTTTTCAAAAGTGAGGGGGAGTACTTTGGAAGACTTAATGGCACTGTGCCTACAAGACATTTTAAAAATTTAATAATTCATCACATATTTTGATCACCCCTGGTATAGTTGTCTAGGTCTTCTGAAACTCCTCTGCTGCTTGTCTTTCATGGTCCTCTCTGAACCATCTTCTAGTCCAGTTCTTCCTTGTTACCTGTGGAGGATGGGTTTCAGGACCTCTGGGAAGAACAAGTTACATAAAGTGACATCAGATTTGCATATAAGCTATCCATAGCTATCTACATACTTCACATCATCTCTAGATCACTTACAATCCCTAAGAAAGTGTACATGCCACTGAAATAGTTGTTATACTGTGCTTTTTAGTGAATGATGACAAAGAAATGTACATATTCTGTGCAGGCCCAAATGTTAAAAAGTTCAGTTTGTTGTTTGTTCACAAATGTTGAATCTATGGATATTGAGGAATGGCTGTATAAATAGTTTTAATCCTGTAAGTAAATCTATTTATAGTATCTTTTAATTCTTTTTTTTTTTTTTTTGGTACCTTTTGGTCTTGATCCCTGCAGAGTTTGAGCTGTTAGGTTGCATAATAGTTAGCTAGAATATATCTGACATACTCTAGTCTGTAAGTTTTCTCTGTAACTTTCAGCACATCTCCATGTGAGATGAGACTCTGCTCTTTAAATGTTGTTTACAGTATTAAGTTATGTTTAGTCTATATTTAAATGACAGGCGCACCTCTTATTTTGAACTGGTTATACAGGGGCTGAGTATGTGATTCAGTGTAGAGCTCTTGCCTTGTAAACATAAGGCCCTGGATTCAATCTCCAGTGGCACAGAAACAAATACGCCAAAAAACTAAAGAAGTAATGTATGTGTTTAACTTTAAAAAACTGTGTTATATAAGCTAAATAAACTATTAATAATTTTAAAATCGCCATATGAAGCTGTGCTACTAAGGTCACTTGCTTAAAAAAAGTGAAGAAAAATGTTGATATTCTATATCATTCTTAAAAAACAACAGTCATTGTCTTTTCTTCCGGTAAAAACAGAAAAATTTTCAAGTGAGAGAAAAAGCTACAGTCCTAATAAGCAAACTAAGTGGGAAATCTCAAAAGAATCTCAACAGCATTCCAAGTTGTCAGCTAAGAAGACAGGAGGACCCTCTTCTCCTAAGGCTAGTTCTAAACTGGCACTCATGAAAACGAAAGAAGAGAGTTCCTATAAGGAAGCAGAGCCCTCGCCCTCAAAAAGAAAAGAAAATGTTGTTGACGTGAAAGGAGAGAAAAAAACTCCTAAGAAAACCAAAAGTTCTCCAGCTAAAAAAGAGGTAGGAACTTTCTGAAAAGTGTTTATATTTATATAAACCCCGGCTTTGATTCCCAGAAGATACCTTATTTAAAGCTGTTACTCGCTTTAAAATTAAAAGTAAGCAAGCAAGAAGCTATTACAGTATCAGGCATTGTGCTGATATGTTAGATGAAAAGCTTCTCATAATGTTCACAGGAACCCTGCAAAATTTTTATTATTCAAGTTTTAAAGATATAGAAATAGGCTGAGTGAGAGTTACATAACTTTTCCGAGGCTTCCCAGTAGTAAGTGAGCGAGCCAGCCTTGAACCCAGGTCTGCTGAGTGCAGAAATAGCAGAACACAGGTCTCTGAGCACAGTCTGGAATGTCAGGTTGCGGACTCCTGCTGAGCAGGTGTGTGGCGTTTGTGTGCCTGCTGCTGTCAGTGCCTCGGTTTCCATTAGAGATAGTGCTTGCACAATGCCTTACTCTCTAGAGCCACGTAGCGCAGAGTCTGGGGTGTAAGTAAGGTAAGTCTTTAGTATCTCAATAAATATTATTTGCATTATTATCTTGAATTTATTCCTCATTGCTATTTTTTAAGCTTTAAGTATGTTTCAGATAAAAGGTGCTCACATTTTTTAGGGGGGCTGCTGCGTATGTGTATAGTATCTCGGTCATTTCTCTGCCTTTTCCTGCTCCCTTTCTTCACTTCAGAAACTGCCTCCTCATTTCCTACCATCTTTCCTTTATTTTCCTCTCATATGTATTTATATTTGGAGTTTCTCAGAGAAATCATGTGATAGTTCACTTTCTGTGTCTGACTGACTTCACTGAGCATTCTGGGCTCAGGATCTATCAATTTTCCTGCAAATGATGTGCGTTCATTCTTCTTTAGTAAAATGCTATTGTGTATGTACAGCGTTTTCTTTACAGATTTGTGTGTTGATGGGTGTTGAGGCCGTGAATGGTACTATATGATATTCTTGAAATTTTACTTTGCAGTTGTTTGTTGCTATTATGTAGAATACAGTAGAAATTTTCTAAAGCTTGTACTGAGTTTGAGTGATGTGACTTTATTGAACTCATTAGAATTTTTTGGGGCCGTTTTCGTAGGATCTCTGTGTTAGGTACAGAATCGTGTTGCTTATGCATCAAGACAGTTGTACCTCTTCCTTCCCCATTCGAGGGCTTTATTCCTGATGCTTGCTTCCCTGCATGTCCTGGCTGCCCCGTTCAGTGTTAGTGAAGGTGGGAGCTGACCTGCCTTGCCCTTACTCTCAAGGCAGGCTTCATCGTGTCTCCCCTCACCAGCTGCGGTGCAGGTTGAACAGAGTCCCTTCTATTCCTTATTTGCCAAGAGATTTTTCTGTTTGTTTTTCTTTTTTTTTTAAATCAGGAATAGGATTGAATATTACCAGATTTTTTTCTGCATCTTTGGAAATTATAGTTTTACTCTTTAATTCTGTTAATATCATGAATCACACTGATTTAAAAAGAATGTTAAACCATACTTGCATTTGACTTTCTAATATTTTATTAAGAATTTTTCCAGGTGTGTTTGTGAGATAGCTTTCTTGAGCCTGTATCTATTATGCTGATTTCATAAAATGAACTGAACATTGTTCTATTTCCTAGAAGAATTTGTGGGACACTCGATATTATTTCTTTCTTAGATATGTGATAGACTCTACAAATAAAGCCTGATATAGGCTTAGGTTTGGGGGGAGATTTGGAAGTTTTAAATTGTTATTTTAATTGTATACCAGATAACAGGGCCACTTTTTTTTTCTTCACAGTTTTGTCAGTTTACTTCTCCAACTTGTAGAATTTATTGGAATAAAATTGTTTCTTTTTTGGGGGATGTGTTGAGATAGGATCTTGCTATGTAGTTCAAGCTGGCCTTCAACTCTCTTTGTAGCCCAGGCTGGCCTCGAACTCACAGTAGTCCTCCTGTCTCCTGCCCAAATGCTGGGATTACAGGTGTGTGCCAGCATATCTGGCTAAATAAAATTCTTTCTAAGATTCTCATTTTCCTTCAGAATTTTTGTGGAGCTTATAGTGGTGTTATTTTTCTTCCTTTTTTTTTTTTTTTTTGGTGCTGGGACTCAAATTCAGGACCAGGACCTCTGGCCACTTTTATTTTCATATTGTTAAATACTTCGTGTTCGTCCTTCTTGAAAATAATTTCTTTTAAATTTTATTTTATTTTTTGTCTTTTTGAGACAGGACCTTGGTATATAGTTCAGGCTGGCCTTGAGCTCTAAATTTTATTTTAAAAAGTTTATTAGTAGTACATGCTTGTAGCACAATAATGGTTGCTTTCAAATTGGAATCTCTTTAGATTCCTGATGAGAAATCACTATTCTTTCATGCCTCTTAGGCACTTAGCATTAAAAGCAGAACATTGTCTATTTTAACTGGTAATCACAATTATTTTCAGTACAGAATCATGAAATGGTGATGATTTTGAAATGCTTTTGTTAGTGGCCAGTACTCATAAATACGCTTAAAGGAATAATTAACTTTTTGGTCTCAGATTTTTCTTCACTAAATACTTATCAGGTGGATAAATGTTATTCCTCAGGCACAATAAATATGCGCATTTTACAGAGGATGTCTATTTATGAAATGAGAAAAATTTTTATCGAACTTTTACTCTTCATGGCACTTTTCAAAATGAGGAGTTTCTCAGATTTTACTTAGTTTTGAAGACATTGAAATTAATAAATTTTGTTGATCTAAGTCATATGATTCTAACTTCAACTGAGTGTACCTCAAAATTATTTTATGGGTATGTTTCAGTGATTTTTTTCATAGAATTAATGTCATAAGTCAGTTGTGTGGTGTACGCCTGTAATCCCAGCTCTCTGGAGTCTGAAACAGGAGGATCATTGTGAGTTCAAGGCCAACTTGAACTATAGTAAGATCTTGTCTCAAAAAAAAAAAAAAAAAAAAAAGAGAGAGAGAGAATGTCATAAAGGAACAACTCCTTCATGCGGGTGTACATCGGACTCAATTGTGAAGCTTATTAAAAATATTTTCTAGGGCAGTGTCTGTGTGTATTATTATAATTTTTAAAATTTTTATTTTTTGGTGGTAGTGGTAATTAAGCTCAGGATCTTGTTCGTGCTCAACCATGTTTGACACAAGGGCCCACCAACTTGTCCCGGCTGGTCTCGATGCCTAAGGTCTCTGAGTAGCCTTGATTACAGGCATGTACCTGACTGGGCAGCTTCATTTTAACAAGTTTCTGCATGATATGAATACACACCAATGTATGAAAGCCATTGTTAAAAAAGTAGGGTTAGAGTCTAGGACCAACCCATAATGGTGACTTGGTTAATTGTTTTATTTATTTATTTTTAATTTAATTTAATTTTATTTATGTATTTTTTGGTTCCGGGAATCAAACTCACGACCTGTACTTGCCAGGCGGGTACTGTGCTGCTGTTGTATCCCTAGCCCCCATAATGGTTTATTTAACCTATAACCAAACCAGCTTAACTATTTCATTGGTTACATCATTTATTTATATAGAGCCAATATTTTGTGTACTCTTAAAGGGATTTGGGATTGCTTGAGAGTTAAAAATCATGTAAAATAGAAAGTGGAAAAAAACAAAGAGACCAGCTTGTGGTGGTTCTCTCTCTCTCTCTCTCTCTCTCTCTCTCTCTCTCTCTCTCTCTCTGTGTTTGTGTGTGTGTGTGTGTGTGTGTTTTCTGTTTTTTGAGACAGTCTGACTAGCTCAGGATGACCTTGCACACTATGTAGCCCAAGCTCGGTCTGAATTTATAGCAGCCCTCTTGCCTCAGCCTCCTGCGTACTGAGATTACACTGGTGCAACATCATGCCTGACTTGTAGGGACTCTTAAATCAGAATTATCAAGGGGCCCCTCCCCCACAACATGCCCTGGCCATGTCCCAGATCTCTGAATCAGAAATCTGGAACTTGGAAATGAGTCCAGGGATAAATAGTTTGGAGCTTCCCCAGGATATTCTGACCTATGTTCACGGCAAGATGCCCTGAGAGAGTCTGCACAGATGGAAGAATGGTAAACGTGGAAGCCCGTTGGAGCTGGCTGTCTGAAGCCTTGTCAGTTGGAGTGCTGCTGTCCCTAGAGATAGGATAGTGTTTTAGGGTGAACAAGGTCATAGGATAAATACAGGATAGCTTCTTGGGTTGTTAAATTGAGGAAGAGTTTATTTTTCTGTTAATATAAATATAGGTTTATCATGGAGTAGAATTTAAAATTCACATAAATTTCTAACATAAAACACGGTTTCCATTTGTGAACTCGGAGCTGATATTTGGCCCATGTCCCTTCTCTGTGCTGAGGTTTGTGCCTTTAGAGTGCAGAGTTTTGAGAAGCCTGAGGCAGGGATGTTTGTCAGTCAGTCATCTGTCTATACCTAAAGCAGTTAATTTCAAGACAAGACATAGTCATGATTTTTTAATGTTTAGGTATGTATTGTAAATTTTCTATGAATTTTGCATGATGTTGTGCAACTTCCTTTCCTTCTCTCCAAAGTCTGTGAGTCCAGAAGATTCTGAAAAGAAACGCACTAATTATCAAGCTTATCGAAGCTATTTAAATCGAGAAGGTCCCAAAGCTCTGGGCTCCAAGGAAATACCAAAGGTAAGATGGGGAGGCAGTGTGCCGCCTGATGGTCCCCGCTGTGAGCCTGCGTGTGTTCACCATGCTTAGGCACAGAACGGTAGCTCAAAATCAACAGCAGGGAAGTCTGGGATGTTGGTGTTGTGAACCGCTACTTAATTCTTAGGAAATGTTTTCTTTAAATAATGACCAGTGCTAGAAGGCTGGGGTTATGGTAGTACTAGTGCCCTTTGCCTTCCTGGCACCTATGGCTTAAAGAGGTGTTAAACATGCACTGTTTAATTGCGATTATATGCCACACCCGGTGTGTGTATGTGTGTGTGTAGAGTGTGAAATAGAAGCACTTGCCTTGGGCGGGACACGTAGAATGAATGACGTTGAGGTGGCACTTGGGCAGTGAAGGACACACTTGGTCAGAGATCACGAGGCACGGTGATCTAGGTGTTAGAATCTCTGATGTGCTTGAGGGAGGAGGGATCTTGCCTGGTGTGTGTGAGGAGCTAAAAGGAAAGTGAGGTAGAGAGCGGAGTGACCAAGGAGTGAGTGGACAAACAAGTTACTAGGGCCCTGTCTTATAGCGCCTAGTGTTTTGGACTTGGTGTGTGTGTCTGTGTATTTATTTATAGGTGGTACTGGTGATTAAACCCGGGTTTCATAGTAGCTACATCCTTAAAAATTTTTTTCTTTTGGGACAGGGCCTTGCTAAGTCATTACGTTGCCCAAGTTGGGCTTAAACTGGTGATCCTCTTGCCTCAGCCTCCTCGAGTGCTGGGATGACAGGCATGTGCCATTACACCTGGCCAGTGTTTCAGAGTTTGTCTTAAAAGGAATTTCAAGTGGAGGACTGGCAGAGCAGCTTTGCAGATCTGAAATGTTATAGTGGCTGCCGAGTGTAGACTGCAGAGGTGGTGGGAATAGCTACTGAAGAGCGGTTAGGAGGGAGGCTGAGAAGTGCTTGAGACTATCTGAGGGGGCAAGGAAAGTGCCGAGGAATGAAGCATTTGTAGTGGAGGACGCAGAAGCTGCAGTGCTTGGCCTAAGTGAACATGGACAGTGAGAGATGTAACGGGACTGATCTCGTGGCTCGGAGGTGAGCGCTCGTGCAAATGCCGAAGCTGTGGGAGGCTGGCCCCTTTGGAAAGGTGAAGGTGAGTGCTCGTGGGCCGTGTGTGCTTTGTACGAGGTGGCCAGGTGGAGGTGCTGAGTAGGCGGTGCATGTGTGGGCTGCAGCTTAGAGTGGAAGTGAAGTCAGTGCCCACACGGGCATTTCCGGTGTGTGGACAGTGTTGGGGGTGGTGGTAAGCCTCCTGACAGCCTGCTTCACAACTGAATGAGTGCAGTGTTCTCCACTTCTGCATGAAGTAGAGGAGAGAGAGACTGAAAGGAAGCAGCTGCAGACACGAGAGAGCTGTTTAAGGAGGAGGGCAAAAAGCAAAGGCAAGAGTGCTTTTAAGTGATTGTGTGGCGAACCTGTCAAGTTGTGGAGATTCCAGGGAAGAGGGATGTGAGAATTGTCCGTTGCACCTCATACGTGAATAATGGCCCTTGTGAGCTTAGTGAGAGAAGTGTCAGTGCCACAGTAAGCGCGAGCGAGCCTGATGGGAGAGAGTGAATGGGAGGTGGACTTGGGAGAGATGTGAGCATCTTCAAGGTAGGAGGTTCTGAATTCATGTTTTTTGCTGGTGGGCCAGATCTACTAGGAACGGAGACTGAGGATAACTAGAGAGAGGAGGATAATCAAATATACCATGAGGTTTTGGAGTGGGGGACAGTGCAGGGAAGATATACACTGTATGTGAAGTTGAGTTTTCACTTTGCTTGGTGCTGAAACTATATGGAGGTGCAGCATTCTATTTCTCTAATAAAGAGAGGATGGCAAGGTATCCATGGGGGCAAGGGAAGGGGTGAGCCTTCCAGGGCGGTGGCTTGGGGACATGATGTAACACCAAGAGTTCAGGCAAAGTGCTGTCCTTAGGGAAGGCAGGTTTCAGGATAGCAAGGACGTGTTGGAGAAGAGGCCGAGCAGTTGGGCGGTTTGTTGCTCCTGAAGTAAGAGCTGGGGGTTCCTAGCATGGAAAGGCTGGGGAAGGTGGCTGAGGGCTGCAGCTGGAGAAATAAGATGCTGGGCTGTGGCGAGTGATCACTCAGCCACAGCGAATGGTTGGGGTTTGGGGTGTGGAACTTGCATGTAGAGTTTTCCAGGTTAAAGTTTGAATCCATTGAGGATTTCAGCACCTAGAGTGGCACAGTAGATCACTGTAACACTAGGACTGTAGAGTTTGAAGGGGCTTGGTGTTGTAAACTGTTTCTTTCCGAGCTGATTCATGGCTTTTTTTTTTTTTTTAATCAGTACCGGAGCTCGAACTCACGACCGTGCGCTTGCAAGGCAGGCACTTAAGTTTTTTTTTTTTTTTTTTTTCATAAGAAAGATTCTTCCCTTGGATGGAAAGTGTTGCACTTGTATTTGAATTTTGTTTAGCTTCTTCTCAAGCTTGTTTTAAGTTTTGTTGATCTTAGTTCTCTAAACAGTAATAACTTGACATTGTCATACATAATTTTCATTTTACTTGGGAATATAATTTTATTGATCTGCAAAAATAAAACACTATAAACACATGCCAGTTGCAGTTAAGTTACATGTAGTTTCCGTCCAACTCTTCTGGCTAGTAGCTCTTAGATTATCAGAGTTATCTTTCCAATCAAGAGATGATATGAACTTGCTTTTAAATTCCTCTGTTTGCTAGATATACTCTTGTAGCATAATAAGCAGAGAGAAGGGCAGGAGCACAAACTTCATAAGCTTTTTAGAATCAATACTTTGTAGAATCAACACTTAATAATAGAAAGTGTTTCTGTTGGCAGATGGCATTTGGTGTTTTAAACAAGTTAACTAAGTTAATTGTTTAAAAATAAAAAATATAATAAGAACATAATGGAAAATAATATGAATGGGTCATTTTGATAAGCTTTGCTGACAGATTGAATGTTTTTCTGTTATTGTTTTATGTTTATTCAGTGTTAGCTGCATAAGAATTTCTCACCATTTAGTTTCAAGTTCTGCTTATTTGCTGTAAATTTCCAGCCAATTTTTCATGCTGAGGTTATTTATGATGTCATATGAGAAAAATCAACTTACTGCACTTTTGATGCCAATTTCTTTTGGAAAGCTACCATGTAATTTCTTCTCTGCTTGAACATTTTGGTTTTTAGGGAGCTGAAAATTGCTTGGAAGGCCTGACATTTGTGATCACAGGAGTGCTGGAGTCCATTGAGCGAGATGAAGCCAAGTCTCTAATTGAACGTTACGGTGGGAAGGTAACAGGAAATGTTAGCAAGAAAACAAACTATCTTGTCATGGGTCGTGACAGCGGACAGTCCAAGAGTGACAAGGTACGTCCGGCTGTGTTCTCCACACAGTGATAGCCTGCATGCCTTGTGATGTGATGTGACTGTTTGTAGTAATGTTCTTTCCATAGAATTAAGATGTAAAAGGTAGAAAAGTAACTTTGTTCATACATTATTTCTTGTCCACATAAGCATTGTTGACTTCACTCCCAGGATTTTGATTTTCCAATTGAAGGCACAGTATCTGTTAACTTGACTTTGTCTTAGTTTAAATCTTTTTTTAAGATTTTTTTAATAAGTTAGAAACGAATGCATTTTTTTTCTTTTAGGATTATGTGTTCCTATATATGCCTTGATGTGTTGTTCTGTCATGGGAAGCTCTAAGGGAAGAATCATAAATGTGTTGTGCAGCATGTTTTGGTTCAAGTGGCAGATTACTCGGCCAACTATGATTTAAACAAACTGCTGGTTATTTTCCTCACCTAACAAGAATGCCAAAGGCAGATTAGCAGCTGGGATGGTTCAGCAGCTCACCAGTGGAGCTAGATGAGTCCTATCTTCCACTTCTGCCATGCTCATTGTGCTAGCTTTAATCCTTACTTTTTCAGCTGTCATAGAAAGCCAGTCCTTATTGGTTTTACCAAAACCTTGGCTCATAAAACTAAGCTATGAGGAGGATGGGTCTTGCCTGGGAGCTCTTGGATCCAGAGGCTGCACTGTTTCAGAACCCGTTCATTTTCTATTTCTGTTTCTCCTGGAGTTGACCTCATTCATTCCAACTGTGTACCCACCTTTTCCACTTCAGGAATGCAGGAGTGCCATCATGTTGCCTATGGTTACAGGGTAGCTGCCTGCGCTCGAGATGTCATAATAGCTATGAGGGGCTGGGGATTTAGCTCAGCGGCATAAGCACCTGCCTTGCAAGCAGGCGGTTGTGAGTTCGATCCCTGGTACCGGTAAAAATGAAAGAGACAGAGATGTCATAATAGCTATGACAGCTTACATGTGTTCTTCCAGAAGCCCTCTTTAGAGGATTCCACTGAAATCCATTGACCAGAGCTGTCATGTGGGTATTTCGGGCTATGAGGAGGCCGAGGAGGAGCAGCACTTCTCTGATTGCCTTAGACCAGTCAGAGCCTGTCATCTGGAGAGAACAGGGGGCAAAAATTGTCTCCTGTATTGAGTTAACATAGGAGAGGGTGTGAAGTGAGGACTTCAGTCCTTGGCTTTGTCCCTTTCTAAGCAATCCACAACAGCAGTAATGTGACACTACAGCTGCCAACCTACTAATCTTTGGGAGCATAGCTGTCATTTTCTTCCTTTTAATGATACTTATCCAAAGGAAAAATTCCACTGACCATTTATAAATGTTGCTCTTCACTTACTAGTAGGCCTTAGTGCTACTTTTTTATTTTCTTTGCAGAAAGGAATGGTTAGGAAAGAGTTTTGATAATTTGTATTTTTAATCAATAGGCAGCAGCTTTGGGGACAAAAATTATTGATGAAGATGGCCTGTTGGATCTGATTCGAACTATGCCAGGCAAGAAGTCCAAGTATGAAATAGCAGCTGAAGCTGAGGTTTGTATAAAGTGAACTTGGTTTGTGTCAGTTGTGCACAGCAGCTTTGCCACTCCTGGAGCCGTAGCTGGTGGCTGTAGCTCCACTGGCCAGAAGATTAACTGCCTTTGCACCCAAGTTAGCTTACCTTATTTCCTTTTGACTGGAAGCCTTTGCTTTCGGTGTTGTGTTTGTTGTTTCCTTGCTTTTCACAAAGCAGTAGCAGGGGGTGGAGATGGGGAAGGAGACAGCGTATTGCACAAACCTACTTACTAAACTTTCTTTATATCCTGTATTCTTTCTTTGATTTTAACATAAAGGTTTGGTTTAAGAGTTCTTTAAAGGATATGTTGTAGATATTAGAATGATATATTTTATGAGGACTTTCTCAGTTGTGATAGAACTCCAGTCTGTGTTAGCTTTGGCAAGTAGGGAAAAATAAAATAGCTCACATAGCTGAGCTGTGAGCGGGAGAAATTCCTGTCTAGGAACTTCTGCATCCCAAGACAGATCCTTTCAGAATGCTTTCTCTCTTTTTTTTGGTACCAGGGATTGAACTCACAACCTTGTGCTTGCCAGGCAGGCGCTTATGCCAGTGAGCTAAGTATCTGGTCCCTAAAACTCTTTCATTTTATCTCTCAGTGCTAGCTCTGTTGATTCTAACTATATACTTGTCTTTTCCATACTAATGTGGTTTAAAAAAGGGAATCAACAGTGATATCATGTTATAAATTACACATGTTAGCTGTACTCTACATTTTCCTGTTTTCCTTTTTCTGTCCCAGAATCCAACACTGCACTGAGTTGTCCCGTCTGTGACAGCCCCTTTGTAGTTTGCCATAGTTCTTGAGTCTTTCCTTGGTTTCTTCTGATCTTGACACTTTTAATGAGTATGAGTTGTTCTGTACTCTCAATTTGGGTTTATTTGACATTGTCTCATGATTATATTGAGGCTGTGTGTTGTTGGCAAGAATACCTCAGGGGTGATACTGTGTCCTGTGTGTGTTACAGGCACTTAATGTTGATATCAGTGTCTTACTGGATTACTTGGTTAAGGTGAAAATACTTAAGATGATGCTACTGTCCTGTTCCTCCTTAAACATTCATCCATTGATTTTTAGCATATGCTGGCAAAGGTAGTTAACATTTTTAGAAATTGAGGTATTATTTGTATGCCATAAATTTCACCCAGTATGAGTGGTCTTTTGTGTCCAGCTTCTTTCACTCAGGGTGATGCCACCCTATGTTGTACTATGCATTAAGACTTTATTTCTTCTAATGGGCTATTGTGTCAATATGCACCACATTGTATTGATCTATTAGGTTGTCACCAACAGTGGCCCAGGTTAAGATCATGCAGCTCTCAGGTTACCCTCTGGAGGTCATTTAGCAGGGTAGAAGTTCTCTCAGTCTCATCAGTTTCTTTTTCTCTTACTTTTCCTATTATTAAGATGGAGAAAGGAAGGTCCAAATTGGAGAGAACACCCCAAAAAAATAACCAAGGAAAAAGAAAAATTAGTCCAAACAAGAAGGAATCAGAATCTAAAAAGAGCAAGCAGACTCCTAAAAGGGACAGCTCTACAAAGACAATAAAAAAGGAAACAGAAGTAACAAATGTGTTTCGGAGAGGCCTGGACTTCAAGGAGCAGGTGGCCAAGGAGACAAACGGTGACAGCAGGCCTAGGGAGTTGGCTGGTGACAGCAGTGAAAGCCAAGTGGACAGTTTGCTCTGGGTGGATAAATATAAGCCAACCTCACTCAAGACCATAATTGGACAGCAAGGTGACCAGAGCTGTGCCAATAAATTGCTCCGCTGGCTCCGAAACTGGCATAAAAGTTCTCCTGATGAGAAAAAACACGGTGATTTTACAACTTTACTCATTTCTGTGTGTCTGTCAACATGTAATTGCTCATATGCACACATGAGAAAGGGAAATGGTTGCCTCTTTGGTCTGTCAACCAGCATTGATTAAGAGCTTGCTCTGAGCCCAGGTGCTTTGCTACACCTTGGTGGTGCCGTGGTGAGCAAAGCAGTTCCCCTCAGGAGCTTCCAGTTCTCAGGGAGGCTGAGGAAGGAAGATCACAAATTTGAGTCAGGATTGGACAACTTAGTGAGACCCTGTGTCAAAATTTAAAAAATAATTTTACAAGACCTGGGGATGTAGCTCAATATGCTGGTCTTGAGTTTCATCTCCAGTACATACATACATACATGAATCATACCAAGTACCATGTCAGGGATAAGTATAGGGTCCTGTGGGAGAAGGGCTCTGTTCACAGATGAAGATGCATGTTCTCATCTCTACAGAGTAAGGTAGAAATGGTGAGATTTGGAACCCAAGTAGGAGACAGCTGAGTGAAGAGAAGGGTGAAGGTTGGGTAGAAAGGCACGTCCAGAGGTCTGATGACTTGTGAGAGTCCCAGGGCACTGGGAAAGGGGGAGTCAGTAGCTGAGGCATGCGTACAGAGCAGGCACCCGAAGTCCCAGGAGCGTGTGTGATTTGCTCTTGGCAGTCTTGATAGTAGGCCTGTGCTTTGGTAGTTTGTGTATATATGAGTTCATCATGTATTTGTCATAGAGCATGAAAAGCCAGACTTTAATGTCCAAAGTATTTTTGGAACTGCAGTTATAGCTCATAAATGTTAGTAGCTTCAGCCACTCCCCCATGGAATAATACGTGAGAAAAAGGAGACGTTGTGAGCACTATGGTGAATCCTCCAAGTGATGACTGCGTTGTTAAAACTACATGGCTGCCAGATATTGCCAACAAAGCCAGACGGCTTTCTTCATAGCTGTTAAATATTTTAAGTGTAATGATACAAGATTAAGTTTAAGTCAAGTCCTTCCTTTCAGAAACCACATAAAGTCCACCTTAATAAGAATAAGTGTGTCGTGTGCCTGGAAAAGACTTTAAGGCGGGCGGAGTGGCTCCACTTCCCCGGGCCATGGGCACACATCAGGTCCCTTCCATCTGCCCACAGGGCAGTGCTCACAGCCTTGTCAGAGCGTCTCACAGGAAGCCGATTCTGCTCATTACCATTTATTGCCACGTATGTGCCAGGCTCTGTGCTCAGCCTTGTCATGTTTCAGCACCCTTGCCAGCTATGTACTGTCACTGAGCCCTGTTTCACAAAGGAAGAGGCAGAGGAAGTGAGGTTAGGTTTGAACTAACGCACTCGCGGCGAGGAAGAGGGGGAGGCAGGCTCGAGCCCTGGCAGTGTGCTATTGCAGAAAAGGAAACTCATAAATCTCTTGTTTAACATCAGAGTTTGAAAGGGAATTAATTTCAGTGTTTTATTTTTAACCTAAATATTAACTAAATATTAAACTAAATATTAACTTTAGTTTTTTAAATTTTGGGCAGAGATGAGATGGGAAGTAGAATTTTACTTAGTGGAGAACATTATAACTTGTAGAAAATATTCTGCAAATTTAAGACTAAATGGAGAGTAGAGAATATACAATTCTGTTGCTCCTGAATTTTTGTTAGCTAATACAGGTTTAATATTCTGGAATTTCCTTTTCTCTTGCAGCAAAGTTTGGCAAATTTACTAGCAAGGACGATGGCTCTAGTTATAAAGCAGCGTTGCTCTCGGGCCCTCCAGGTGTTGGCAAGACCACCACAGCTTCTCTCGTGTGTCAGGTGAGTGCTCAGCAATTGTGTGCTTGGAAAGATAACCCCTCAGTTGTCATGTGTAGGAGGGATGCTTGCTTGTGTGTGAGAATATATAAATGATACGTGTATTTTTCTGAAATCACACTTTTAGGAATTGCTTTTGTTCTGGTGATTTTGTAATTTTCATTCTTTCAAAAATAGAAAAAAATGCCTATTATATTGGTTATAATGCACTAGTCTTCCCTTACCTGTGGGGGCTGCATTCCAAGATCCCCAGTGAATTCTTGAAGTTACTGATTGTATTAAATGTTGAATACTCACCCTCCACCACCTTTTTCTATGTGCCCTGCTGCATTGCCATATTTTACCAAAGTTAATCTGTCCTTCTATGTTTTGTGTTTTATACCCTGGTGTCATTTTTGTACCACTACTATTGCTTTTTGGAGCTGTCATTAAGTAAAATAACAGGAACATTGTGATAATGTAACACTTGCTGTGATAACCCAGATAGCTACTAATAAATGGGCAGTGAATTGGTCAGCTCTCTGTTGGGTGTACATAGTATCCATCACTTAAATTCATAGGAGGAGTTTTATTTGCCTCTTAGTTAGGAGAATTCAGTCCATGGTAAACATGGTGGAAGGGGCTTGCTGGAGGAAAATTGCTTACCTCAGAGCAGAAGAAACAGAAAAGGGAGGAGCTAGGGAGAGAGAGACACCCTGCAAAGGTGCACCTCCTCTGACACACCTCTTATGTCCAGGCCCCCACCTCCAATAATGAACTTACCAGTGGATCAGGTCACTTAATGAGTATAGCATCCTTATGATCCATTCACCTTCCACATGCCTTAGCTCTGGACACATTTGTCTTTGTGGACCATTCTTCATCTAACCCATACAAGCAGGAAGTGTATTCCTGCTGCATGTGCAGGGTTGGTTTATATCCTGGGGAGGATGGCGCAGGACAGTGTGAGATTTCATCATGCTACTCAGGATAGCATGCAGGATCACAGTTACAGATTGTTTACTTAGGAATTTCCATGTGACATTTTCAGGCTGTGGATGATTAAGGGCAACTGAAGCCTGTGAAAGGGAAAGCATGAAGAAGGAAAGACTAATGTAATAGCTAACAAGTGCCTGTGAGCCAGTGTGTTAAAGCACTTGGTGTAATATCTTATAGGTAAAGGTCAAACATCCCTAATACAAAAATCTGAAATCTAGAATGCTGTAAAACCCAAAACTCTTTTCTCCTTTTTCTTTTTTGAGACAGGGTCTTGTAATGTAGTTCCAGCTGTCCTTGAACTCACTACGTAGTCTAGGCTGGCCTCAAGTTCATGGCAATTCTCCTGCCTCAGCATCTCAAGTGTTAGGATTGCAGGCATGTGCTGCCATTCCTGGCCTTGAAACCCAAATCTTTTTGAGTGTCATGTTATACTCTAAAAGTTTCAGATTTCAGATTGTGCATTTTGGATTTTGGGGTTAGGGATACTCAAACAGTAAAGTCTGTGTACATACTCTAAAACCTGAAAAATCTGAAACCCTGAAATACTTCAGCTTCCAAGCATTTCAGATAAAGAATACTCAACCAGTATTATAAATGTTACTGATCTTGAAAAATGCAAATTTCTCATATGCCTTCATCATTCTTCTGTGTACTAAATATGTGTACTGTTGTCATCTTTCTGTGGCAGATGGGACACTTTGAGCCCAGGCTGTCTGACTTGGGGTTTCTCGCTTCACATGTGTGTGATGCCTTTTTTCTTGTCTGTGTTCTTGCTGGGTATGTAGACAGTGAGATGACCTGGATACCACAGCAAAATCAGAGCTCATGGCTTCTTACCACAATATGGGATTAAATTTATTGCTGGGGGCCAGGGATTTAGCTCATCCTCCCTGGCAAGTGCAAGGTTCTGAGTTTGGTTGACAGTACCAAAACAACAACAATAAAAATTGATTAGACAGTGAACCACAATCTGTTTTTTCTAGTTAACAGGGGAAAACTGCATATTGAGATAATCGAATAAAGAATAACTTAATGTCATAATTTATCTTGAAGAAGCAAGAATCACATTTCTACTTTATTTTTTTTTTTGTATAGGGGATTGAACTTGCGACCTCATGCTTGCCAGACAGGCACTTATGCCACTGAGCTAAATCCCCGGTCCCGTTTTTGGTTTTTTGAGACAGGGTCTCACTCTATATCCCAGGCTGGCCTCAGGCTCACAGTGATCCTCCTGTTTCAGCCTCCTGAGTGCTAGGATTATAGGCATGTACCTCTATGCCCAGCTTAGGCTTTTTTTTTTTTTTTTAAATAAACACAGGATCTTGCTATGCAGTTCAGGCTGGCCTTGAGCTCACTTTGTAGCTCAGGCTGGTCTCGAACTTGCAACGATCCTCCTACCTCAGCCTCTTGAGTGCTGAGATTACAGATCTGTGCCACCATACCTAGCTTGGCTGTTATATTACTTTAACTCTATACCTGATACTGAATATTGGAATCATATTTAACTTATTTTGGCACTTAAAAGCAAACTTGGTAAAATTGTTTGGTAAATATAGTCTTCCAGATTAGTGATTTGCCAGTTGAGATTTCAAAATCAAACTTTTATGTGTTTACATGTATGTGCTTGTGAGACATACTCTAGTTAAATTCATTGGCTATTAGTATTACACTTTACATTTTACCGAAGATTCTTTATGTGATTTCTAGATTCCTGCTTAACAAGTCTTTCTTTTAGAGGGAGAAGAGTTCATCTGCATTGTGATTATGATTTCCAATATTTTTATTAGGAACTGGGGTATAGCTATGTGGAACTAAATGCAAGTGACACACGGAGTAAGAACAGTTTGAAGGCAGTTGTTGCTGAATCACTGAATAATACCAGCATCAAAGGCTTTTATTCAAGTATGTGGTGTTTTGAAACTGTTTTTGTTGTAGTTGTAATGTGTTCCTGTCTGTGTTCTGTAACCAGTACTGAATACTGCTTATGTGGTAAAGCACCCTGCTAAAAGAGCTGTCAGGAAAATAAGAAACGCCTCTGAGCTACTCAGACCATTGTTAGGCTTACGGGTTTCTGAGAATGTGATTAAAAGGTTGCATATACATATTTTTGCCTTTTGCATAAGACCTTAGAGGATTCACAGATGTGAAGGAGGAAGGAAGGCAGAGTGCGGTGTGATGAGTGAGGTATGATGCCAGCACATGTGTTTGGGGCACTGGGTTGGGCAAAGGGTGATACTTGTCTGAAAGGCAGTGCAGAGAGAGGGAGGACCCACTTGGAAACGGATGTCATCCTAGGCAGGAGTAGTAGCAGAGACGGAGAGATACACAGTGCAAGTGTTTACTGTTTCAGGTTACAGCTGGTGTCCCGAAAGCAAAAGTTCATGGGGAAAATTAAGATGCTCAAATTAAGGACTAAATTGTGTCTGTTTAGAGCCTATAGTATATTGCTTGGCCACCTGAATTCTTGATGCTTTCAAAGGTAGAAAATCGTTGTTGCTCAGGAAATGTTAGCTGTTATAATTGGCTAGTGGGAGTGTAAATTGGTATAATTATGGAAAGTCTGGCAGTGTTTCTTAATTACATATGTGCATGTGTGCAGAATGACACACATGAGAAGATATCAGAAACTTGGAAGCTTCTTAGTATTTCACCCATATACAGTGATTAAATTATGATACATATATAAAGTGGAATACTAAATTTTGTTATAAAAGAAATATAAAAAGAAATATTTTTGTTATAAAAGAAATATTGTATTATGGATAAGGAACAAATCACCAGAATATATTAAGTGATAAAATCAAGTTGTATATTTGTATGCACTCATGTTTTTAATATGTATAGAATATCTCTCAAAGGATATGCAAGGAACTTTCTGGGGGAGGGAAACCCAGCACATAGAAGGATGGGGAATTTTTTTACTGCTTACTCTTACAGCTTTTGAAGTTGAAAATGTGTCATGGTTTTTGAACAGTGTCATTTTGTTTTTGTCCTGTCCTGTAGCTTCTCCTACTGAGTTGGGTGGAGCCGTGCCTTCCGTTAGTGCAAAGCATGCGCTCATCATGGATGAAGTGGACGGCATGGCAGGCACTGAGGACCGGGGTGGGATTCAGGTATGAATGGTGCACTGTGTGTTTCCAGTTTTACTGTTGACCCTGAGAGTTTTAAAATATTTAATTTTCATGAACTGGTATTTATCGTAATTAAGGCATATTAGTTGAGAAGGTTTTAGAAATAGAACAATATGTTGTGTAGTGTTTGTTATTTTTTAAATTAATTTTTGTGTCATACACTTGCCTTTTAGGAATTAATTGGCCTGATAAAACATACTAAAATTCCCATTATTTGTATGTGCAATGATAGAAATCATCCCAAGATTCGCTCTTTGGTTCATCATTGTTTTGATCTTCGTTTTCAAAGACCTCGAGTTGAACAGATTAAGGTATGATAATTGAAAAAAAAAGATGAAAAACAGTCACATAATCCTAGTTATTTAAAGATCAGTTTTTAAAATATTTCTTAAATATTTATAAAATATCAGATTATATGAGTTTTTTAAAAGTCACTGAGATTCTCCCTCACCCCTTGTCAATTTCAGGGTGCCATGATGTCTATTGCATTTAAAGAGGGTCTAAAGATTCCTCCTCCAGCTATGAATGAAATAATTTTGGGAGCCAATCAAGATATCAGACAGGTAAATTACTATGTGACAGTTGTTGATTCTTTAGAAAAATGCCTTATGCTTTGCGGGAGGAGAGCAGCTCTATTTCCTCTTTTTGACACGGTCTTATTTGTGACTGTTTTAGGTTTTACACAACCTGAGTATGTGGTGTGCACGAAGTAAGGCACTAACGTATGACCAGGCCAAGGCGGATTCTCATCGGGCCAAGAAGGATATCAAACTGGTAAAGTGCATTTCCCTGTCTGAGTTACTTTCCCAGGCCAAAGCCCTTGTTCTGTGGGCAGTGGCTTAATAGAAATTAAGCCTTTTTGCTCTATCTTTAGAGCTTGTGGATATTTATCTGGCCTTTATGTGATTGCTAACAGTCTCTAACTGAGATGAATTTCTGCTCAAGGATTGTCAGATGCCCATTGTAAACTTTGGGAAAGAGATAAGTTTTAAATTGCAGTCATGTTTCAAAGGTTACAACATGGCTTTTCTAGAGTTCCTTATTTGGCTTTCACATTCCGAATGGTTTTGCACTGACTGGAATGATCTGTTTCAAATGGCTTAGATTTACCCTCTGAAAGTAGAGTTCTGCATCAGTTGTCTTTATTGTCCATTTACTAATCGGAATTTATTAATATACTTAAAACAATAATTAGTAGTGCTGTTAAGAAATTGGTATGCTATTTTTTTGAGCATTTTTAGGTTTACAGCAAAATTGAGTGGACAGTACAGAAATTCCCCTAATCTCCCCCACCCCATATACAACCATTGCCCTCCCCACCATCAGTACCCCCTACTCCAGAACCTTGCATCGGACACACCATGTCACTCTGAGTACACAGTCTGCTTTCGGGTTCATTCTTGATGTTGCACATTGTGTGGTTTTGGACATATGTATGATGATATTTTTCCGTCATTGTAGTAGCAGGGTAGTTTCTCTGCTCAAAAATCCTCTGCTCTGTTTCTTCATTTCTGCCAACTTTTGGCAATCATTAGTCTTTTTCCTGGCTCCATAGTTTGGCCCTTTCCAGAATTGTATGGTGTGGTCTTTAGAAGTTGGCTTCTTTTACACAGTAATACTTGCTTAGGATTCTCTCATGTCTTTTCATGGCTTGATAACTTTTTAAAAATTAATTGTTGAATAATACTCCATTGTCTGGGTATATCACATTTTATCACTTACTGAGAGACATCTTGGTCCCTTCCAAGTTTTGGCAGTTATGAATAAATTTGCTATAAACCATTTGTATGTATTTATATGTGGACTCTTTTTTGAGACAAGGTCTTATGTTGCACAGGCTAGCTTCAAACTCTCAGATCTTTCGCCTCTGTCTCCCAAGTGCTGAGATTATAGGTGTGCACCACCACACCCAGCTTGTATGTAAGTTTTTGTGTGGTCATTTTTCAGTTCACTTGAGTAAAAACCAAGTTTTCTAAGAATCTGCTGAATTGTTTTCCAAAGGGACCGTCAGTCATCAGTGAGCATATCCCCGTACCTGACATGTGCTGTGCTCAGTGTTTTGGATTTTGGTCATTCGTAATAGGTGTGTCCCCTCCTCTTTTCAGGGCCCATTTGATGTTGCCCGCAAAGTGTTTGCAGCTGGAGAGGAGACTGCTCATATGTCACTGATGGACAAATCGGATCTCTTTTTTCACGACTATTCGATTGCGCCCCTCTTCGTCCAGGAGAACTATCTCCATGTAAAGCCTGTAGCTGCGGGGTGAGCACTCTGACCTGTGAAGATTACTACCCTTCCAGCACTTCGGAGGCCAGACATGTGGGTGGGAGCAGCCCCGGCTGCAGGCAGTGGTGTAATGCCGTCGGGTTCCTTCTTGCAGGGGTGACATGAAAAAGCACTTGATGCTCCTAAGCCGAGCAGCAGACAGCATATGCGATGGTGACCTGGTGGACAGCCAGATCCGGAGCAAGCAGAATTGGAGTCTTCTGCCCACACAGGTAAGCCAAGGGCTTGCCTTTGATCAAAGTATCTTTTTAATTACTTAAAATAGCACATGGGCATTATGGCTCTCATGGCAAAAACAAAACAAAAGAAACAAACCCCAGTCTCTTGTAGATAAAAGTGCCCTGTGCTCAATTTGTGAATCTTGCCTTATTTTTCCATTGTTTTAACAAATAATTCTGTTTAAGTGGATATAAGGCAATAGGAATGTCAGGTGTTGCTTGTAATGAAAGATGTGAGTCAGAAATTTCATTTGCTGAGTTTGACCGTAGTCCATGTTTTTGTCATTTGTGGCCCTGCGAGAGAGGATCACTAGATGGCTGAGTGTAGCTGGGCAGGTCAGCAGCCATATGTCTGGTACAGGAACTCCGATTTTCCATCTGGCTAAAGAAAACCAGTATCCGTGTATTACCAATATCCCTGTACTGTGTGTACAGTGGGTACTGTATTTGTGTTGATATCTTTTAGTGAAAATAGGACTTGGTAGGCATTTATATTTAGGAGTGTTGTTTAGTTTTTTATGCAGTATGTGGAATGAGCAAGGAATATTCAAAATGCCTACCTTAATTCTGCCTACACATTGATGGAAAACAAAGCAAAAAACAAAACACGAAGACTCGCTCTGGAAATACAGTTTTTTTGTGTCCTAAAAATGTTAATCTTTCTTTCGCTGGGGATGTAGCTCTGCAGTACAATATTTGCTTACGTACACAAGATCCCCAGTATCACAAAAAATGTTTATTTTTACTAATAATTGTTCTTTTGAGAATTTATCCAAAAAAATAATTCAAATGTAGGAGAAGCTTGATATACAAATACTCCCTAAAGTACGTTAGTTCTCAGCAAAAAATTGGGGAAAATCTCCATGTCTAGCTGCAAGAAAGTGATTGTTATGATAAATTCTCTTGGTGAAATATTTTGCACCCTTTTTGTAGATAAAATCATCTAATGTGAAAAAATACTTATTAGAGACTATTACTAGTGTGAACAAGACATCAAATTGGTGTAGAGTAAAATTCCAGTTTTAAAAAACATGAAAACCTTGGCCATAAAAGACATCTCAAAACACCTTTTAAAAATTTTCTCACGGGGACCAGGAGCTCAGCAGCACAGCCCCTGCCTGGCAAATATGAGGTTGTGAGATCAATTCCAGGTACCAAAAAAAAAAAAAAATTTTTTTTCCCTCAAGGACCAGAGAATTTTCTATAATCATTAGACTTTTTGTTTTTTAAGCTACCTGTGCTTTCAGTTGCTTATGTTAAAGACAGTTGCATTTCTCTGAATTAATAATTGTTCCTTTGAGAATTTATCCAAAGAAATAATTTAAACAAAACTTACTAATTCCCTGTTAATTCTGTGCTGTGACATTGGCATCCATAAAGGAACAAGGCTGTTGAGATCTGTCAGTTGAGGATGTGAGATGGTTCCCTTACATAAGGGCCATCACATTTTCTAGCAGGGTGTGGACTGCAGCTCAGTTTTCCTGGGAGAAGTTGCCCACACCTACCGATCAGAGAGGCAGGATCTTACTGCCCTGTAGCTGGGTCCCTGGGACAGCATAGCTTCATTTGCCATAGACTGTGTATTAGCTCATTCTCGGTTGCTACTAATGCAGTACCACAGCCTGGTTAAGTTTTAAAGGAGTGGTTTATTTAGCCCACAGTTCTACATGTTTAGGGAACTACATGGCAAGAGGAGGAGGAATATGTCTGTGTGCGTATTTGATGGTTCTCCTTTCTGTCAGTCTGTCTGTATTGCTTAGGGTCTCAGTGAGTATCCCAGGCTAGCTTTAAATTCATGATCCTCCCATCTCAGCCTCCCAAATGCTGTGGTTACAGACACCTGCCTACTATACCTGGCTTCTTATAAAGTTACCAGGACTCAGTGGTGGGGGGAGTCTGCCTTAATGACCTTACCTAGTCCTTATCTCCACATACTATAGGCTAATTAGGTTTCTAGCCCTTAGTACCTCCCAACAGGGATTCAGGTTTTTTTTTTGTCTTTTTCTTTTTTATCGGTACCGGGGATTGAACTCATGACCACATACTTGCAAGTTAGGTGCTTATGCCGCTGAGCTAAATCCCCAGCCTCTAGGGATTCAGTTTTAACCCAGGAGGGCTTGGGGCACACATACACTGTATCTGAAGCATAGCAGCCTCCTTAGAAGCCAGCAGCTGTAAGGAGTAACTTTGTACTGAATTTAAATTATAGCCTGCCATTGATTTTTTTCTTTTTTCTTTCTCCTCCTGCCAGGCCATTTATGCCAGTGTTCTTCCTGGAGAGTTGATGAGGGGGTATATGACCCAGTTTCCCACTTTCCCGAGCTGGCTGGGGAAGCACTCGTCAACAGGCAAGCATGACCGAATTGTGCAGGACCTTGCACTACACATGAGTCTTAGGTAAGCAGAGCCGTTCCGTTTCTGGCATTTTATTGGTGGGGTATTAACTTCTATCTAATAAGAATAACATGAGTCTAAAGATTTATGTTTTAGTTTTATTGCTAACTAGATAAGTGATCCTGGATAAGTTTCTTACGTTTTATGGACCTGAGTTTTGTCATCTGTGATCTGTATGGCATTTATCACTTAGGATTTTGGACAATAAAGCTAGATGGTAGATGTGTTGTAGCTTTAAGATACCTTTTAAAAACTGTATACATCTGCAGTCGTGAGTTCGATCCCCAGTACCGATAAAAAAGGAAAAAGACAAAAAAAAAAAACCTGTATACATCTGAGGTAGTGCTATTATTTCTTACTGTGACTGTGCCTGTTACTAGTGGGAGTAACTTTTCAGCTGCTGAATAATTAGTAGGAAAAAATTAAATATTTCGAGAAGTGAGCTAGCTTTTATTTCTCTAGTTTTCTAGTAGTGAACAGACCTAGTCATTTGAGATTGGGAACAAGGCTAGTAACAGGAGGAGGCCACTGAGATAATGGAAGAAAATAATGTACTGGGAAAAGTTTGGGGAAACTTAGAAATAATTGTGTTTGGTACAAAACTTACAAAATGTGCGCACAGCAAATATCACATAAACTTTAAAGATTCATTCATGACCATGTGATCTATCTGAACAATCTTATTTCTACTTCTGAGCCCTAGAATATTTGGTTTCCAGGTCCATACATAATTTTTTGTTAACTTTCTCCTTTTCGTAAAATTATCCTCCCTGTGAAGTACCCTCTTCTCAGCCTTTGGGACAAGTCTTTTCTCCCATTCTTAGACGTTTTCTCTTGCCACTCTAATGAATTACAAACTGAATGGCTTAAAACAACACAGATTTATTGTCTTGAGATAGGAAGATGATCCTGGGTTATGTCAGTAAGCCCGGTGTCATCCAAGGTTCGTTATAAAAAGGAAGTGGCAGTGGTAGAGTCGAGTGGGCAGAGTCAGAGGGTGAGAGGAAGGGAGGGAGGGAGAGAGATGGGACCCTGGTGGCTTCGGGGATGGCGGGGGGAGCATCAGCCAAAGAATGCGGCAGCCTCTAGAAGCCGGGAGAGGCTGCTACTTGCATTGTTCTCAGGCTGCAGCTGAGGCCTGCTTCTCAGCTCTTTCCTGTCGCATGTCCACTGCTGTTTGAAGGTCATAGTCACTCCTACGGGCACCCTTCCTCTTGCTCCCAACATACTCCATGTAGATTTTGAGCCCTTGACTTCTGTCCTATTTATATCTGTCGCATTCCCCACTCACACTGAACATCTCTGGGGGTGGAAACCGAGGCTTACTCCTTAGCACATAGAATTGCTCAGTAAATGTTGCTTAAAGAATCACTATGGGGTGTTCGTTATCAGCATAGACATAGTGAATTTCATGAATTATTGGGCAGGTTAGTGTTTTCTTGTTGTGGGATAAAATACCCAGCATTCACAAGTTAGAGGAAGAGAGAGGGTTGTTTTAGCTCACATTTTGTAGAGGTTTCAGTCTGTAGTTAGCTGGTTCCAAGGCAAGGCAGCACAGCCAAGGGCCATGGCAGAGGAGAAACAGTCCACAGCATGGCGGCCGGAAGCAGAGATTTTTTCTACTTTTTAGTCTGTCCATGCTATGAGCCATTTGTCGGTGCCACCCACACCTGGGATGGTCCTTACTTCCTCAGTAAATCTATATCCATACCCAGAACTGTGCTAAACCAATCATCGAACTAATCTAATATCATACCCATGATTCAGTCACCTCTCAAAAACCCCATCTATTAGCACATGAAGAAGCTTTGGGGGACATCTAGATATAACAGTTAGGACCTTCCTACTTAACCTTCTTTTTTTTTTTTAAATCTTTTTGAGACAGGGTTTCACTATCAATTCAGGCTGGTCTTGAACTTATTTTGTAGTCTAGGCTGGCTTTGAACTCACAGAGATCCTCCAGTCTCCCAAGTGTTGTGATTACAGGTATGTACCACCATGCCTGGCTCCTGCTTAATTCTTTAACCTTAATTAAAACACTAAATTTTTAGAGGCCTTGGTTTCTCTTCATCTTTGAAAAATGGAAGTATGATTTTATTTTTTGGGAGGGATGCTTAAGAGTCTCTGAAAATCTGAAAGCTTTGATCTGTCTTCTCCCCAAAATGTACAATGCTTAAATAACACTATTTAAAGGTAATCACAGATTCTGTGAAGTTCCGAATCCTTATTGTAGGTACGTAGATGGTACTTTAGGATTTTGCTTAATTCAGTGTTCTCTGATTCTACAAGTATATAGCGCGATATAATTATTTTGGAACTGTTTCTTGATTTTCTTGGGTGCTGTGGCTTAGGCATGTATGCTACATCTCTTTTAAGTAGTTCTCTGCATGTTGATGGAAAACTAAGTGGAATTAAAATAGGGGAGTGTTTTAAATTCCTTGCTTAGGTAATAAAACAGTCCCCATTTCTGATGGGGAAAGAATTGTGTGGCTTCTTGAGGTTCAGTTACCTGAATACAGGAGCAGGAGCTATAGGTAATTTTTAAAGAAACTTTAAATCCTGATGCTAAAGGTGTTCTGATACCAGCAGCTTTTGAGGTCTTGTTGAAGGTGTGAATACGTATTTTCCCTAGATTGAAGGTGGAGGCAGCTAAGTTGAAAAGATTTAGGGTGGTGGCATTTGAAGCGCTCATTTGTGCAGTTATTTTCTGTTTTGAATATGCAGTAGCTTGGTAGAGGAATGGGGGTGCGAGGGAGAGAGGGAGAGAGCGAGCACGAGCGAGCCGTTTCCTAGTGACATCTAGTTCTGCGCAGATCAGTTTGCTCCGTCTTCCCTTGGGCGGCGTGGACCGTTTTGATTCCGTAGGAACATTGCAGTTTTTTTAGATTTGGGAAAAACTTACCTCTCAAACTGAACATTTTACTTACTTATTTAAATTTTATTTTTTCAAATTCATTTTATTCAAGGATAAAAAGAAAGAAAAAAAAATACAACAAAATTTCAAAACACGTCAATCAGGGCAATAATGGTGTACACATTGTACACTGTCACCCCCAAATCTTTCACCCAGAGCACAAGACTTCTGCATTCAGTTGTCCAAACAGTGCCAGCACAAATCTTTCTCTTCATGAACTCAGAGGAATCAGTGGTATAACTATCTTCACTATTTTTTATATATATACACATGGGCATGTACATGTATTTTTTCTTACAGCTCGCCACACTAATGAAACAATATGGTGTTTACACATGTGCGTCTTATTTATGTCACTAGTGAGTATGGAACTGAAGATTTTAGGGCATAGTTATGAACAGGTAGGAGCCAGGCACTCATAAACCATTTTGTGCATTAGAATCAGAGACTGAAAGGTGTCATGCTCATTTCGGAAGTGGCAGTGGCAGTGGCACTCGAGGTAGGTAGGAAATACCTGCCTTTTACTGGTACTTCCAGTATTTTGGAAGTTGGAGTATTTTTATGGATAGGTAAGAACATGCACAGACACCAGTGTTGCCTGGCCTGACGATGGAAGGAGACTTTGAGGAGGAAGGTTGCTGCCTGCCACGTGTGTTTTCCCCGCTCACCGGTGGTCCAGGGAAGCAAGTAGTGTTGTGGGTGTTACCGTGAGGGGGCGTGCTGGGCGGTTACATAGCTGGTTACATAGCTGGCCTTCCGCAGGGCATGGATAACTTGGACTGGACGCCTCCCACTGAGTCGGCGTTGATGTGTGCACGGGCTCAGGTGGGTGACACAGTTTCACACTGACTGCAGCTGCGTCTTCTGGTTTGGTTTTCAGAACTTACGCCAGCAAGAGGACGGTGAACACGGATTACCTCTCGCACATAAGAGACGCACTTGTCCAGCCCTTGGCGTCGCAGGGGGTGGAAGGCGTGCAGGAGGTGGTTGCACTTATGGACACGTACTACTTGATGAAGGAAGACTTTGAGAATATCATGGAAATTAGCAGCTGGGGTGGTAAACCCAGTCCCTTTTCCAGACTGGATCCCAAGGTGAGTTACCAGTACCACCCACTGGCTCTGTTAGTTTGTAATGACCAGGTTTGGCCTGGCAGTGCTGTGGGGGTGCTTCAGGGGTGTTAGAAAAGGGTGACATTTTCCCCTCCGTGAATGTTTGTTGCTTTTCACGGGCTTTCATTCCGAAGGTGGTATTGAGTACGGTGTAAGGTGAAAAGACAGTGCTTTAGTCACCTTTCCCTCACTGACACAGTACCCAGTGCCCACAGCTGAGAGGGGGTGCATTGTGGCTGGAAGTCTCAGTCCATGGCTGGCAGGCTGTACGGCAGAGGCATGGCAGAGAAAAGGAGCTCAGCCTGCGGCAGCTGGGAAGCAGAGGTGGGGGGGGAGCAGGGACAAGGACACACCCTTCTGGGTCAGGCGCCCGTGACCTGCCTGTGACAAGGCCCCACCTACTAACAGCAAGTGAGCTGTGAACCCCTCAGTGCACCAGTCCACCAGTGAGGTTAACACTCCCTTGATCGGTCACCTTCCACACACAGGAGGACTTGGGGGGACATTTTAGATCAAAACCATAACAGATGGGGAGGCTGAGGCAGGAGGATCGCGAGTTTGAGTCCAGCCCAGGCAATTTAGTTGAGACTATCAAAAAAAGAGAGGAGGGGAAGAGCAAGGTGGGGGAAAGAGATTTCTTGATCTGACATTTGTATTTTTAGTTTAGCTTCATGCTGAGTGGAAAAGCAAGAAGTCAAATCTGAGGAGCAAATATGTAAGCGTAGATGGAGGGATTAAGCCAGGAAATCAGAGTGAGGTGATGGTGGGGCTGTAAACATCAGGGTGTTTCCTGGCCGAGGGATTTGGTGATTTTTATATGTAAGCTGTGGATTGAGAATTTATGTTGACTGGATAATCTACTGTGTAACAGTGTGTCCCCTCTTTACTTGTATAATTAAAGTGACAGACACGAGGGTGCACTACCTCGCACCTCACTCCTGGGCCAGCTGTGTTAGGAGACACACCATCTGTGATTCTTCTTCTCTAGAATTTGGACCTGACTTAATGGTTATCAGTAAATTCTTGGAGTACACATCCTCTGTTAGGGATCTCTGGCTCTAGAAATAGGGTTAGAAGCTTGAAGTTAAAGTTCTGTAAGTTACTTTGTATTTTGAGGTGAGCATCATTATTACGGTAAAGGTAGCTTTTGTGTTTAGTAGTAAGAGCCAACTTGTGCTTTATAATGAGCCTTTGTTTTTGATTCTCAGACTAACTTTGCTTACTATTTTGTAGAAGTGTGCTGAACTGGTAAAAATATTGACTTGAAGTGACTTTTTTTTTTGCTTGCCTAAAGTTCGTAGATACTGATTGTTAAATCTGTTTTGAGTCATGGGCCTTATTAATAATGTTATGAAAAATACAGAATTTCTTCATAGAAAAGTAGATACACAATACTGCCCTTTTACCTGTACATGCATAAATATTATACAGATAGTTTCAACTGACTTCCAGGCTTTTCTTTCAAAGACCTGCACAGGGCTGGTGGTACAGCGTGGGGATAAAGCACTTTGCCTAGTGTGCATAGGGCCCCCGCTTCAATGCTCAGCACATTTAAAAAAAAAGCTTGGGACTTGAAAGATTTTTAATAGTTTCCTCTGTCCCTCTGCTCCTTCCATGCAGGTGAAAGCGGCCTTCACAAGAGCTTACAATAAGGAGGCCCACCTCACCCCATATTCGCTTCAGGTGATAAAGACACCCCGGTCCAGTACAGGCCCCATGCTGGATTCTGAGTACAGTGAAGAGTTACCCGAAGAGGACTCCCAGTCTGACGAGAAAGACCAAGACGCCATAGAGAGCGATGCTATGATCAAGGTAGTGTTTCAAGCTGGACAGGAGAACCTCAAAATAGGTGATCTGTTTGTAAATAGCTTTTTACATAGTAGGAGAGCTAACCAGCAAGAAAACGGGCCACTGTGTTGATGCCATATGATCTAAGGGAAAGTCATTTTATTTGGCTGTTGGCATATACTCCTCATGTACAGCATAAGCAGCTTTTAAAAAACAAATCCACTTCTTCCTTCTCTTGTATTTGCTAGAGTCATTGAATTGCTTACTAAAGTTGCTCGAGAAAAACTCGCTCTTCCCTTGCCTTTGCTGGGGACGATGAGATTCCGGTGTGAGGCCACCCTCAGCGAAGCAGGCCAGGCTGCCTGCCCTCCCTCTGCGGCCTGGCTTGGGAGCCAGGCAGGGCGGCGGCTTCTCCAGTGTGGTGCGCTCTGCTCTGCCCGGCAGGTTGTCTCCCTCTCCTCTCTTTCCCCTTCACAAAATGAATGTTTCGGTCTCCAGCACGAAACTGAAAGAAACAGAAGTTCTTCGGGTACCCATTCCACCTTACCTTGGGAGATCATCTCTTACTTTGTTCTAAAAATATCTATATTCCAAATCCAACAAACTGCCTTACATGGGCGACATACCTTGGTTCTAGATTCTGATGTTTTCTGGTTTCACCATGTCTTGTTGGCTCTGGGAAGCCGACTTGCTGCTGAAGTCCACTCACCAGAGGCAGCGGTGGTCACTCACCAGGCCTCTGCACCGCTCTCCTGTGTAAGTTAAGCTTTGGTATCCTGTAGAGACAGGCTTATTTTGTTTACTTATAAACACTGCTGTTAACTACTTGGTGCTTATTTTTCTCCCAACAGAAAAAGACAAAATCTTCAAAGCCCTCCAAAACGGAGAAAGATAAGGAGTCCAAGAAAGGAAAAGGAAAATGTTTGAAGAAGTGAAACCATTTTCAGTACCAGCGGCCACGTTTTACTGTCCCGCCCAGTCTCGCGGGTCTGGGGAAAGCCTTGTTTTTCCAGAGGAGCCATGTTTGGCAAAATGGGGACGACCTGGCAACCCCTTTGTGCAGGACATAGCTGCCGGGCTCACGTACACCTCTTATAGAGGTTGACAGACTGCTCTGGTCTCCACTGTCACCTGCCAATCTAATTAGATTGTCATGCTTCAAAATGACCGTATCTCATTAGAACTAGAAACTACATATGGGCTTTGCAGACAGATTTTAGTTCGCAGTAACAATCCTGGGAGCACTGGTACTGAGGCATTTTTCTGTGCTGAAGAAGTTACCCTAATGGCCTTTAGAGGACCAATGCTGATTTTTTTTTAAAGGTAGTTCTTATTATGTGGTGAAATTTTGTAAATAAATCATCATACAAAACAGTCACCACCTAGAACTGGGTATTCTTTGTATATTGTCAAATATCTTGCAAAGTATAAATTAGAAATAAAAATGTTCCACATGATTACATGTACAAAATTTTCTAAAGATTATCTTGTACAGCAAAATGTATTGGTGTATTACCTTTTAATTTGCAAATGATTGGATTAAAAAGCTCAGTCTTCCTTACTAAGTGTTGTGCGAAACATTAGTAGAGTCAAGAGCTTGAATTCCCAGGGTCCCTTGCTCTGTACTGACCGGTCTGCAGTGAGTGCTCTCCTGCAGGGGCCTCGTGGACACCAGAGTGCATAGGGATGGCAGAAAGGTCACCTGACTCCTGTCCTGTGCAGGCTCAAGCCAGCAGGGCTGAGGCAGTGACCTGTTCTGAGGCTCACTCTGGCTGGGCCAGAAGCCCTGCTTTTGTTTACTGGGGACCTGGAGATTTGCTCTGTCTTGTGATGGAGTCCACAGACCCTTTGAACTTTCCCTGTAATCATGCTTACGGATGGCCTCGAGGCTGTAGCTCTAGCCTGGATTTCAGGTGCCCCACTGCTTGTTAGTCTTGCAGTAAATGCTCAGAGGTGTGTGCCACCACTGTGACGTAGATACCACAAAGAACGTAACACAAGGACAGCGTCCTCTCCCTTTCAGCACTCATTGTTTTGTTGGGAGATGAGACATTTAAAGTGTATATACCCGTGTGGAAGATGGATGGCTTTCATAGACATCAGTTTACATGGAAATAAAACATGGCCTCAAGGTCCCCCTCTACCCGCTTGGTTAAAGCTGGCCTGCAGACCTGGCTGCCTCAGTGCAGGCTTCCGGCCCAGGGGTGAGCACGGGTTCCTTACACAGGATGTGGAGATGCAGCGCCTGCCTCCCAGGAAAGCCTGTAACCTTGCAGCCAGAATAATGCGCAGTGTCCTTCATGTGTGCATGATGACTTGAATTGTGAGTCCTACACATAATGGCATAACATATGCAAGGTAGGAAACATTTTCAAATTAAAGGTATGCTATTTAATATATGACGATGATGGTAGGGCTGGTTAATCCCTAATGACTGTGATGGGAATGGAGGTGAATGGGGGCGGGAGTCGGGTCTCGTACTTGGATGTGACTCTGAAAGGTCTTCATCGGTGCCATCCGCTGCCACATGTCATCTTTCAACATAAAGCTGTGTGTGAACTTTGAGATCCCCAAACAAGCGTGCAATTTAGTCTTCCATCTTGTTAAAATTCTGGAAGTCCTACAGCACTGTTATTTGACCTCTTGAAGTTGTAGACAAGTAGATTGTTTTATGCATTAGGAAGAGCCTGTCTTCCTACACAAGTGCTGCTGTGGCCATGCTCAGGAGTGGAAGTCTGAGGCCTGCAACTCCACAAAATAGAAGGTGTTCACCCACCCAGGTTCTAAGGACCTAGATTTGTATCCCTGTAACCCTACAGCGCCCCTTCAGGGATAAGATACAGGGCACTCAGCCTAGGTTTTATGTTAAGTATGGATTTTGCTGGAGCATGTGATAGGGGTGTGTATGTGTACATGCACAGCCTTGGGGAAGATTCCAAATAGTGGGGTTTTTTTTCCCCTCCTGGGAAATTAAAATAATTTAATTTTGTAATAGGCATTCTAGTGTGCAACAAAATGACTCAGATAATTGAGCTTGTAATTTCATTCATTTAAGAACAGATTCTGCTGGGTTTGGTGTTTTGGACTTAGCCAAATAGTCTTGACTTGCATAAATTTATTACAGAGTTTTTATACTGTTAACCTAGGCCCTACTCAAACTTCACAAATGTGTGTCAAAGCTATCTTTTATCTCTTTTCTGTCTCCAGATCCAAGAAAAAAATTAGTCAACAATTTTATTTTAAAGGTGATATTTCAAAATATAAAAGATACAAAAAAAGCTGAATATTTACAATTATGTTATAGATTGTAGTAGAGAGCATAGAATATGTGAAATGTTGGAGAGGAGATACACGAAGTACAATAAACATCACTATGGTGCCACTCTAGAGTCGGAAGTGCTGACCAGCGGAGGTCACCGTGGTTGTGTTTCTGGATGCAGGAAGGGCTGTCCTGAAATCCAGCAGGAGTGGAAGCTCAGCCTCTGTGGACGAATGTGTCTTCCAGGAGTGTCATTTCTGGAAAGGACGAAGGGTATCTTTAGGAGGGTGCCATGTAATGGCCACAGTGAGCAACACAGCTGCATTTTCTGTGCATCTGTGCAGCGTGGAGCAGGAACACAGCATTCAGATTGGCTGCTTCCAGTCTGTAATCAGGACTGGATCCTGTGCTGGCCTCTCGGCTCCCCCAGCCACCTGGGCGAGCTGCTGGGGAGAACAGTGGGTGTCCACACCTCACTGGGAAGAATGCGCAGGTGCACACAGAGTGTTCAGCACACTGATAAGAACCTCCTTGAAACCAAGAATCCCTTGTAATTGATCAGGGCCCACTGTGTTAGCGGACATTACTGTGGCTTTTTCAAGACAGTGCATCTTGATAACTCAGTGAAGGCAGATCTGCAAGGGACTGAGATGCCCTGGGGCTTAGGTGCTTGCAGTTTCTGTAAAGGATTATCCTCTTTACTGTTTGCAGAAGTTCTGTGGAGGTTTATGAAAAATAAAGTTTCGTTTTGGAAGTGACATACAGTTTATCTACAGGTGATAATGACAAGCTTGGGACAAAATATAACTACTCAAAGGCATCAGAGACAGCATTTTCAGACAGAAATTGGAAAGATGTGAGCCTTTCAAAGAAGTGGCAGAGAACTCTGCTGGCGAAGATTCATGTCCACGTGGCTCTCCACCTTGGGGACAGGGCACGAGGTGTGGGGCATGGGATGTGGGGCATGGGATGGCAAGAACATCAGGTCCTTTGAGCTGGAGGAGTCAGGAGTTCGTGGCTGCCGGAGTGACTAAAGTGCGTGGGGAAGTATGCTGGGAAGGGCTGGCTCCAAATCTGTGAGCTTCACACAGACCCTCGGACTTTCCATGCTCTGAGGAGACTCGCACGAAGCCCACGGAAAAGCAGAAACTCAAAGCAGAGCTTTTAAGTGCTGGGCAGAGTTTAACAGCTGGTTAGAGCAAAGTCAACATTTTGTAAAGGTGAATCTCAAGGTTTTATGGCCATAGTGTCTAGCATACAATAAAACATTACCAAATGTGTGTACGGGCACGGCAGGCAAATGTGGCATAAAAAGGTCAATAGAAAAGATCCCGGGGTTACTGATGGGTGTACTAGGGACTGAATCCAGGGAGCGAAGCCACTTCTCAGACCTCTCTGGATTTTTCTTTGAGACAGTATCACTAGTTACCTTACTGCGCTAGGCTCATTCCAGGGCTGCTGCCATGCCCAGCTGCCACACGAGCTGAAGTAACGGGGACTTGCAGCGTTTTCCCTGATCTTTTCCCATGCGTGTGTGACTGTGGGGAACCGGGGCGCGCACAGATCACAGCGTAGTCCTTTTGCGGCTCCACCCCGCCCTCCCCATCTCTACAAAGTCCAGCTCACTTCTTGCCCTCATCTACTGTTCAGCTCCTAAATTTGTATTTTGGGTTTCAATAACATGGCTATTTTAGGCATGTTCAAAGACCTGAAGGTGAACATGGTCACCAAGAACAATAGCTGGGGGACTCAGAAGACAAAAGATGGGAACATTCTAAAACAAAAAGAAATTGCAATAATTTTACTTAGATCAGCAAACTTGATATGACCGAAGAATATGAAGCATAGAAAAAACAGGAATGAAAGAATCCTAATGACCTGTGGGTATCAAGGAGTCATAGTCCTGAGTCCACACGGAGAGAATAGAAATTTGTAGAAAAAACTTGAAGACTTAATGGCTCCAAATTGATAAAAAAATAGACATATAGATACACAAAAATGAGAAAAATCCCTGAATAAATCAAACCTTACCTAGGCAATACAGTCAGAAGTCCTAAGAGTACAGCTTAAAACAGCATATACAAGAGAAGGTTTGAAATTGGTGATGAGTATCTTGAAAGTGCTTGAAACAAAAATCAACAGAATTTCATATTAAATGAAAAGGTCCTTCAGAAATGACATACAGAGAAATAGTCATGGCACATGTGTACTTGAAAGAAATGTTACACACAGGAAGTTCTTCAGGCTGGAAGGAAGTGATGCCTGTGGAGACGTGGACTCAGGAAAGCAGGAACACCATGGAAATGGTAAACCGATGGTAAGCGCAGGGTATAGCCATGCTTTTTAAAATAATTTCTTTTAAAAATATGACTAAAGAAAAATGATAACTGGACATGCTGGCACATGCTTGTAATACCAATTACCCAGGGAACTGAAGGAGGGCGATTACAACTTGGATGCCAGCTCAGCAACTTAGTCTCTGCGCTAGGTTTCTACAAAGGCCTGGGCTGCAGTTCGGTGGTAGCCTGCTGGCCTCATGAGCAAGGCCTGGTTCCATCCAGCACCTCCCCCGACTCCTAACACACAGAGAAAAGTGACACTGCAGTGCAGGCTTTGTGCTGAGGTGTGTGTAGTATGTGTACATATGAAGCAGTGTACTAACCAAGTGTAATTTGGAAAGATGTAGGTAAAAAGTCTATATAGAAAAATGAAATATTAAAAAAAATGTGTGAAGGCAAGACAGGAATGAAAACCAAAAAGCAGATCGGGCAACTAGAAAACAACAAAACTGCATTGCTAAATTCGTGATAATTAAACTTGAAATTATAACAAATTTACAGGCCAATATCCTTCATAAATATAGGTATAACGTAGATATAATATTTTCAGTGTAATATTAGCAAAATAATTCAGCAGTACTTGGAAATGGATTATGATCAAGTATGTTTATCATCTGAAAGTTGATTTTAATACTAAAAAGTCAGTATAACTTACCAAATGAATGGAATGAAGGGGAAAATCCTACAATCATTTTTTCAATTAGCACAGAAAGTTCATCTGACAAATTCAACACTCAGCAAACTAGGAATAAAGGGAAGCTCCTTTTTAGATGGGAGGCTGCTCGGAAAAAATCTCACAGCCACACATCCCGGAGCAAGCCAGGTGCTGACTTTATCCTGGGGTGGGGAGCTGAGCCGTGTGATATACAGGAAGAAGTCTTAACAATTAGGAAGAAAGTTTTTCTCTATTTCTAGACATGATGATTTACACAAAATCTGAAGGACTCTACAACTACCAGACAT